GTAAAACTGTGAAGCTCTAAAATGTACATTCTACTTGATAGACATTAAGAGCTGTTAATTAATTAGCTCAGGAAAAGGTGTAAAACAACTTCAATTTCTTTGATTGAGAAGAGATTTCAGATAAAACCACTGAAGACCTGAACAAATAATCAAACCCTTACTTGGATAGAAAATGCTTTTGAAAAACAATTCTGATTCGCCTACACAACATCTGTGATGCATCTTTTTATGTGCCGGTCTCCCATGATCCCTGTAGCTGCATGCTTGTACACATCGTGCAGTGCATACTGGAAGCATCTATCAGAGTGACAGCATGTCTGGACACTTGTTCTAAAGCAGGGGTGTCCAAACTCGGTCCTGGAGGGCCGTTGTTCTGCAGATTTTACCTCCAACTTGCCTCAACACACCTGCAAAGATGTTTCTAGAAAGCCTAGTAAAGGGGTGGCCAACCCTTTTTCTGGAGAGCCACCTTCCTGCAGATTTCAGTTGCAACCCATATCAAACACACCTGACTGTAATTATCACGTGGTGTTCAGGTCCTAATTAATTGGTTCAGGTGTGTTTGATATGGGTAGCAACTAAAATCTGCAGGAAGGTGGCTCTCCAGGAACAGGGTTGGCCACCCCTGGCCTATTAAGAGCTTGATTAGCTAGCCCAGGTGTGTCTGATTTGGGTTGGAACTAAAGTTTGCAGGACACCAGCCATCCAAGACCGAGTTTGGACATGCCTGTTCTAAAGGCTAAAGGCTAAAGGTCTACCCAGGGACGGAAAATGCGGTGCGGTGATGGCCACCTGGCGCATCCCCACATGCCATGCTTATCAAGGAACCTGATCGTGAATCCGGTGCTGAAGTGGTCTCATATAAACAGTCTGAGCAGCTCGACAGCAGCTACAGTCATACGCATTACAGTCATACAGTCATTTGCCCCAGGAGCCTCTGAAAAAACTTCAGTGGGACCACTGTCTTCCTGCCAACTGTATCAGACAGGACAGCAGCAGCCAGATGTGCTCTTTGGTAAGGTGCACTGTCATGGAGGTCAAGTTCAGCTCCATCCTAATAAAAAAGAAACTCCACCGGGGTAAAGCTTGCTCTTTTCCTGGTTGACCCTGGAAAAGAAGAGGCATTAGGGCACCTTCCGCGATGTTTGTGAAACCCCATAAAAACAGGGACAACCTGAAGGGGAGGACCCTGTACTGCCATGTGCGGCAACTGAACACACACTGAAGAAACGGTATGCAGAGGGGGGAAGATGAGACAGTGGACAGAAGCATTGGCAGATGAGTTTATGCATGAGCTTTTTTATCAGCATAGGGAATGCTTACCTTAGGAAGTGGTGCATCCAGAGGAAGAGCTGAAAATAGGAGACTGGGTCTTATATCTCCCAGTGTCCCGCAAAGTGGCTGGTCGTGTGGGAGAAACACTCTCAGTGAGGAGCAGCCAGCGTGGATTGGCCCGCCAGGTGAGCAGTCTTTCAAGCCCACCGGAAGATGACCTGCCTCACGCTTGGCTATTCTTTCACTACCGAGGACTCCTGGGTAAAGTCCCAGGCAATGTCACCGAATAGGCTTGCCTGGGATATGGGTGCGCCAAGAAAGCAAGCTTGGTCAGCATGGCACAGGGTAAACCAAGGATGGCATTCTTGGACCACTGTGTGGCCATAGTCTTTCCACAGGGCATGAGCGGCCGACTTGGTGGTCAAAAAATTTCAGGTCAGTAAAGTTGGCAAGATACAGATTTGACTAGTCCAGATCAATAACTCTGGAGCACAATGTTTTTCCCTACGCAAATGATGCCCCATTCTCTTTTGCAATGATTTACAAAATGAGCTACAATTGTGCTTTCTTCTGTACATTTGTTTTTCTGCTACAGGTTGCCAGGTCCAATAAAAATTTCCATCCCAGTGACAGCTCCAACCCCACCCAAAAAGAACATATACATATATATATATATATATATATCTTTTTTTTTAAATATAGAGAGTAAATTACCTTTAAAGCTGATTTTTTTTATGTAAGCTATAAACAGTAGAACATTTACAAAATATTTTCATGGAAAAAAAAATTCAGAAAGTTTTACTTAACATTCTAATGATTATTTTAATGAAATCCATAATTCTGGCCATTATACACATTTTTTGGCTAATGCCAAAATAGACCTGTGCAACATAATAATGATTTTGTGGTGCAGGGTTACATATCTTTGATATTTTGTGATACACAAAGGCCTACCTATATAGAGCAGATCCTAAACACTACCTTAAGAAGCATCAGCTGCACAGTCGATGCAGTTATGAACATCTACACTTCCACATTCTGGTTGTGTTGTTCTGCACTGACACTTCAGAAACACTAGTAGGCGATGGGGTTCCAAAGTGTGTGACATTACTGAGTCAAACTCACATTCATTCAGGGAAGGATTAAAATTTAATTCCTGAACATGTGAACAGCTCAGAGCATAATCTTTAAATTATGATAATTCTGAAGCAACATGAACACAGTAATTATGAGATATACAGAGACACAGATTCACAGACATGTATAGGACAGAATGCATTGACTGGATAAAGATTTTTGGTCTTCCAGAAATATACTGTATGGCCATTAAATATTCAGTAGTATTTTGTTCATATTTTAGATCAGTAGTTCCATAACTTGTTTGATACCTGTACATAGCTAGAATCAAGGGAACAGCAGTGGCATAGTTTTTAATATTTGTGACCCTGGATCACAAAACCAGTCTTTAAGTGTCAAATTAAGTTATATTCATTTTAAATAAAAAATAATAATAAAAAATCTGTCCACTGGTGTATGTTTTGCTTGAAGATGAAAATTAATAGCCAAGATACTAAAGTTTGAAAATCTGAGCGTTTAAAACAATATCAAAATACTGAGAGAATATCCTCAAAATATTGTCCAAATTTCATTCTCAGAAAAGCATCTAACTAAAAGTTCTGATAGAATTACAAATGAAATTTACTATTATTATGATATTTACTGAACATTAAAACTGTGATTTTTTTATAACAATAAAAACGATTATTTTGACATATTGACTCGTGTTGTTGGCTATTCACAAGTTTTATGATTTAGGTTTACATTTTTTATAGTTTCAGACTAAAAAGTCATTACATATTTTGACACAGTAATTTGCATTGACATTATCAAGATGACGACCTTCAAAACTGAAGAGGCAGAATTAAAAAAAATCAAGAGGAACTGAAAAATGCAAAGTATTAAGCTATTTTATTTTCCATTTCTACAGATTAATGTCAGATAAACAAAAGTACTGCACCAATGAACAACAATGTATTCAAATCAAATACAAGCTGGTGAAACATTTGCAACTCTATTTAAAAGTGAATGTGTGGGAGCTTATGAACAAATGGAAGATTCTGCGCTCACATCAATGATGAATGTAGACATCTGACCATTGAACCTGTAAACCATTGCAATATACATAAGCAGCACATTATACATCCTTTGAAAAATGGTTGTAAAAGGGGCTTTGACAAAACTGGCATAGACGAGTCGTTTTTTTTTCTGCAAAGATATGGCTTAGCATTTAAGATAGTAGCTTCTGTCAGTTGCATTTGTCACTTCTTGATAAAGTATATTTGGATGACAAGGAAATGAACAATAAACTTTACTTGCTAATTAAAAAACAGTCTGCAACATGTAACAAAAACATTGGTCACACTTTACAATAAGGTTCATTAGTTAATGTTAATTAATGCATTTACTAACATGAACAAACAATAAACAATACATTTACTACTGTATTTGTTCATGCTAGTTAACGTTAGGTAATGAAAATTCAGTAGTTCATTGTTAGTTCATGTTAACTCATGGTGCATTAACTAATGTTAACAAGCATGGACTTGGATGTTAATAATGCATTAGTAAATGTTCAATTATGATTGATGAATGCTGTACATGTGTTATTCATGATTAGTTCATATTAAATGCATTAACTAATGAACCTTATTGTAAAGTGTTACCAAAACATTTTATCTAAAAGACATTTATTTTCACTTCCCCAAAAGCATTTTCACCAGACCAACTCAATTTTAGTAACTGAGACTCCATTTATCAGCAGATATGCACTTGTGGATACATCTTTTGAAAGTTTTTTGCCGCTCATTTATGTATGCAACAAAATTAACTTCATAAAGCTGAATTGTTAATTGAGTTGAATCTGTGCCAAAAACAGACTAGCATCCCTACGTCTAGCTTATGCTGAGGTATGTTGCAGCCCTTTTATGCATTTAGAAAAATGTAGGTTCATAAATGTTGCTGAAATGTTGTTATTGACTTGAGTTGCTAGTAGACATATATATGGGAATAATATACTCTGTAGAAAATGCTGGCTTCCACACAATTCCTTTATGTTGTCACAAAACAATTAGGTTGCCCCCAAAAAACATTAGGAATTGTGTTGTGTCAACCTATTTTCAAGAGTTCACACTTAGCTCAAGATTTATACATAGGTTGTTCGGCGTGCTGTCCTGGGAGAGAGCCCTGAGCTCAAGGGATCCTCGAGCATAGGTCTCCCCCCTTTCGCAGAGCGAGGGAAGATTGAGCTCAGGTCGATCTCAAGGCAAACTTCCTGAGAGTAAGACATTAGAAAAAGATTTAGGCTTATTGTATCTAAAATACAGAGCACATTTGGGTGGTGGGAGGAAATTGTGGAACCCGGGGGAAACCCATGCAGACACGGGGAGAGCATGCAAACTCCGCACAGAAATACCAGATGGCCCAGCAAGGAACCAACGCCATTGGTATTCTTGCTGTGAGGCAACAGTGCTAGTCTCTAGGCCACCGTGCCACCCATTCTGGATAAAGGCGGAAGAAGGGGAGGAGGGGCCCGAGGGGGGTTTCTTCCAGATGAAGATAGTTGTAGAAAGGAATTGAGGATATATATATATATATATATATATATATATATATATATATATATATATATATATATTGACCAGCTGGGTCAATCATGAGCACATGCTCCTCTCGAAATTAGTTTAAAATTAAACTTCACTTAAATGAGCAGTTTGAACACGGAGCAAAAGTAAAGCAATCACATTATATGACAATACATTAATGTCAATAATTAAGCCACACGTATGTTACTTTAAGCACAAACATAATTTTCAAACAATACATTTCATTAAAAAAAGGTTTTAAAACAAATGTTATTTGATTTGTGTACTGAATGAGTGAATTTTTGGATGGATTAGTCGTGGAATTATGTTAAACAATATATCCATATTAAAGTTAATACAAGCTACAGATAACACAATATGGAAAAGAGGTACATTAGAGGTAATGTAAGGAATTTGATGAGGAATTGAGAACATTTGTTCCTGCTTTTACTTGCATTACTAAGCCTTAATGATGGACATTTTCATCAGACATTTCCATATAGGTTGTAATCAGCATCATAATCGTAACCCTAAAAAGAAGGTTTTAACAGATTCGTCAGTTAATCAGTTTTAGAAACTGAGATTATATTTGTAAGAAAGCAAATGTATTGGTAAATGTACTTACACCACAGTTTTTTCGCTGACTAAAAAGCACAAAGGAAAATAAGAATGCAAAATCAATGTTTATTATAAACTACAGTAAATGTATTTAAAGGAACATACATCATATCAACATATACATCTTAAAGGGACATATCACAACCATAAAATGTTTATGAATTTTGATATATACCGATATGGATAATGCCAGTAGCTGTGGTCATTTGTAGTATTTATATACACCAAAATATTTGTTTCATGTTACAATAAACACTCTTTAAAGAACCAAGGAATCTTTAAGTGGCATGGTGGCTTAATATGATATACTGCATTCAACAGTATTATTTTGCTGTGTAGCATAAATATAATGAATATGAAGTTTTATGTACTCTACCTGTTTGGTGATGGCATGTGTGGTTTATTGAAATCCTTGTTTTCTGGCACATTGCATGTGTTGTTGGCCCTGTGAAGAGCAAAGGTTGACTAGTGAATTCACTTAGATTTTTTTTATATATGTGTGGTTTTTACATTGATGAAAATCATTGTACTTTTGGTTAAAACTTTCTTATATGTGACCCTGAACCAAAAAAAAAAAAAAAAAAAAAAAAACAATCATATAAAATATAATTTATACATACATAAAGAAAGACTCCTTCACCCAGTTGTAAAGCACTTTGGGTGCAATTCAGAATAAATGTGCTATGTGACAAATACATTACATTACACCATCTGATTTCTGAATAAATACACTAGTGCTGTCAATCGATTAAAAAAAATTAACTAATTAATCACACTTTTTTAAAAAAAAATTAATCGCGCTTAATCAAATTAAAAAGACTGAAACTTGTAAATTTGGCTATTCAAATGTAAAAATTAATGTAAACGCAAGACAAATACTATTTAAATTCAAAATATTATTCATTATTAGAAATTTTGTTTAACTTGTAACACAGAATTCTTCATGTAAACAACACACCCACAATAAACCATCAAGATCCTGGCTTGACAGCCATATTAGTGCCATTTGAATTTAAAACCAATCAATGCCAATAAAGAAAACCTTGATTTCCAAGTTAGCAGTGGCGTAGCGCAAAATGCGGAGGCCCCCCTGCAGGGATCGCTGACGGGGCTCCCTGATGAATGGGGGGGGGGATACGTCATACGTCAATTTGCATATCACTGACGTCATCACGTTCTACCGTTTCTGTTTAACAGCCTATGGTTAATAAAGGGGTATTTATAATTGCACTACACTTTAAATAAGCATGTTTATTTAACTAAATTTATTGCTGTTTGAATACAGTATATCATTACAGATGTGTAACGTTAGTGAATGTGCAGCAATCTCTCATATGAAATAAACTCAGACAAGTTCAGAAACTGTCACTAAAAAATGTGTGATTGTGAACAAGAAAAGAATAAACGGTCCAATTAAATTGTTAAAATAAAGTAGAAGTAGATCGGTTTGACTGTACAAGGGAAATACCTTCACACTGCCTGTGCTAAATCATTTGTCGTCGGTACGCAGAGGGGTGATCTGCTCTCGGGCTGCAGGTGGGAGAGGCTGCTGTAGAGGACTGACTGGGCCGCCTGTCAGTGCTGTGAGGCGGGGGAGGGGCCGGCGGCATCACACGCAGCTCGTTGAGAAGAGTAGGGACGGTACAGTATGGAAAAATGACAGTCTAAAAAAATCTCCAATAACACACAAAAAAGTCGCTAGGGGGGTCTTAAAGGCGCTAAATCTAGTGACAAAGTCGCTAAGTTGGCAACATTGGCGGCAAGCAATCAGAATGAAGTAGTCCACCGCTTGAGAGGTGTTCAGAGAACACAGACGTGTGAACTTTGGTTCCGACCACAGTTGTTCCCAACAGTTTATTGAAAATCGCGACGACGCGGTGCCCCCTAATCACGCGGGGCCCCCCCGCGGTGCGTGCCCTGCGGGCCCGTCCGCTACGCCACTGCAAGTTAGATTCTAAGTGGACTGCAAAAAATGCATTACAAGTTAGAGAGAGAGAGAGAGAGAGAGAGAGAGAGAGAGTTAGCTTTCCCAGCAAAATACACTCGGGCCAGTTCCGGCTAGATTCTCGCCTGCCGGAGACTTACCACTCGACCCGGCTCCGGCTGCCAGACCCGAATCAAACCTTTATATAAAACCTTTTGGTATTACATTGGTACTTGATACATGGTATTACAACCCTTTGAGTTGATATAACAGCAAACGCCTGTGTGTCTGCTTGGTGCTTGTGTGTGTGTTAGTGCGCGTGCGTGTATGAGAGAGAGAGAGCTTTGTCTGTGTGTGTGCTTGGTGCTGTGTGTGTGTGTTTATACAGACAGCTTGGCTGTCTGGACTGTATAGCTGGGTGATTTTTGGTTTTGTTCTCCCCCGCTCTTTAGCTGGATCGGGCGCGGCGGCCAGAAAACGGGGCGGGTCGGGCAGCGGGACTACAAATTCTTAATATAAGCGGGAGCGGTCGGGTTTGGGCTAAAACCTGGCGGGTGCGGGCAGGAGCGGGATTCAAAATTTAGTCCCGCGCAGATCTCTACTTGCGTGGTACTGCAAAGAGGAATGGGCAAAACAGGTGTGCCAAGCTTGTATGCCACATTCAAAAAGACTTGAGGCTGGAATCGCTGCCAAAAGTGCATCAACAAAGTAGTGAGCAAAGGCTGTGAATACTTATGTACATTTGATTTCTCAGGTTTTTATTTTTAATAAATTTGCAACAATTTAAAAATATATATATATTGAGGAAATTTGAGGAAATAAATGAATTTAATCCATTCTGGAATTAGGCTGTAACAAAAAATGTGGAAAAAGTGAAGCTCTATGAATACTTTCTAGATGCACTACATTTGTATATGCAATATATATATATCTTAGTGTGATTGGTTGGTTATCTAGCAATATTCTCCAAAAGTGTCCTACCGACAAAGCATCTTTGATACCCCCTTTGGGGAACATGGGTTACATTGGTAAACATTTTGTTTGTTGGTCCAGGGTCATTCTGTTGTACTAAATTGCATTTAATAAATAGAATACTGACTTGTATTCGGCTCTCATATTTGCATTATTTCTGGGTGATTGGTGTCTGCATAAAAAAAGAAAATTAAATTAACAAATTGGAGGATTTTATTATTTAATAAAGGAACACATGCCACCAATCAACAGACAAGGTTATATTTGATTGATTACCTAGAAAATCGGCTCCAGATGCTTCGTCTGTTGAGAAATTAGATTTTTTTTAAAATTGTACACTGTTTAAAATATCTGTTAATTGACAGTTTTTCGACGGATTTCGTGTTTTAAGTTAAATTATGGTCATGAATTGCATTATGGGACTTTAATCTTTAAGAAAAGAATTTTAAAACTTACTTTTTGTCACTTGTAGTACAACTTGTTTTTCATTGTTGCTAACTTCAATACCTTTTCTTTTTTTCCTCAGATGGGTTGGAGGTTAAATTCAGAGAAAGCATGTTTTTTTTCCAGTTTCCCATTATAAATATTTTATTAGCTAAACTTGTGGTATTTATGCTTATGATTTTTATGTTGAAAATTCATTAAGTTTTATTGACATTTTAGTACCTTGAAATAATATAATGGATAAAAACTGATATACAAATAAATCTGTAAATATTAGAAAATGCACTGGCAGTTTATTACAAGGATTTTGTAGCATAATATACAACACCAACCCAGAGAATATATTACTTTAAATTATTAAAAATGAAAGTTTAAGGTTATTGGAATAAAAATCGAGGTGCCATAATGCAATTCAAAAGCATAAATAAACATGGGAAAATAAAAAAAAAATAAACTGATAATTTACATATATATATATATATATATATTATATTATATGATTACACACATTTGGATCTGTCCTAAATTTATGTTTATTCTTTGTAATATGGTAATTTTATCAACCTACCTTTGCTCTGGCTTCGGTGGTCTTCCAGGTGCATCCCTGGTTAATGCATTTGAGAGATTAGGATCATTACTAACAATAACCAAAAATTTACCATTCATTGCTTAACATACCTGATATCACTCCTGTTTCCACTATTAAACCAAGCTGCCCTTCCTTCAGGCATGCTAAAACGACTGGAGGACAAATGTTAAATTTAGATTTAAAGGAATATAAAAATCAAATGATAAATCTGTTAAAGTAAACTCCAACCTTGAAAATCTGTTCCAAACTGATCTCCTACAAAACAGAGATTGCTTGAGTATTAGAAACCAGACTTCAGTTCTGAATTACATAAAGATGTCAAACATACCTTTGCTCAGATCTTGTTATGTCCTCACAAGGCTGTCTAGAATCAATAATACAATGTAAAAGTGAAAAGTTGTCAGTGATGACTAATAAAAACATAAATTACATGTTAATTAAACTGGGTCCTCCATAGCAATATGTCTAACAGTGTAAAATTGGTATCCACTCATAACAAACCCAAAACACTTTGGCTTTTACAAATGTTGATCAGAACACACTAATGATGACAGAATCAAAAATTGCTTTAACGCCTTAAAATGCTTTGAAATACATTGAAGTCATAAAATGCATTACAATAGAGCGCTTTCAAATACCAAACTTTCAGAAAGCTGCTTTATTGCAAATAAAAGCTAAATTTGGGGATAAACTGATAAACAGTGTATAACAATAGACCCCTAAAATATATTACAGATATTCAGAAGCATGAGTTTAAGCCAAAAAGATATGTTACCTTTGGTGCCTTTTGTACATGAAGACTCCAGCAAGTATGCAAATGAGGACGAACACAAGTGACGAAGCAATGATATAAGGCCCAGATTCAACCGCTTGAATTCCTATGATTTTTTTAAAAGAAAGATTACATATCAAGATGTGTAGTTTTTATTTTTACTATAGCTGTCCTATAACAAGAGGACAGATTCATACAGCCAAAGATCTCCTAAAGGTCTTTACTCACTCTTAACACTCAGGGGGGCAGAACTGTTGCTCTGTGTTTTACCACCCCAAAAGTTGGCGCTGCAGATAATTTCATCTTCCTCTTCATATCCTGTGGGAATAAACTTCATTTTGGACACTGTTTCCCAGACGCCTCCACCCATGGGATTGTGGCTGATAGTTTCTCGAACTGTTGGGACGCTCCATGTGATTTTGGGAGGGTGAGAGGAGCATGTGTGTTTGACTGAACATTTAACAGTGACTGCTGTCCCGGGCTCGATGTCTTCAGGAACTGATGACATCACAGGCTGGTCTGGAGATGCTTTGAGAAAAAATTAAGACATTAAATATGTTTTGTAATGACATGGATCAAATCATAAATCATATTTTCTCACCTCGCATTATAATGAACACACAGCTGTTGTTGAAGCTGTATTTCTCCTCTTTTTTTTCAGCTTGAAAGCAAAACGGCCCGTTGTCATGAGTTCGTACATCGTCCATCTCCAAAGTACAGTTCCGCTCATCCGGGTTTCCAAGAAGTCTTGTACGACCTTTAAAGTTATCCAAGACGTCCACCGGGTCAGTGTGATACATGTAGCCACCATTGTTGTTGACCCAACGAACACGGAGTCCAGTGAGATATTTATGTTCAACACTAAAACTGCACGGTATCACCACACAGGAACGAGGAAGAGCAGTGATCTCGGGTATCACGTCTGCCATGTATTGGAAGTAAGCTAAAATGATATAATGAGTTAATCAATATTGCTGAAGTACTGAATGTAATATTAACAATAATATAAACGTGAGAATAGCTACAGAGGAAAACATACTTTCATTCTGGACTGGAATAGCTGGTTTTTGATATTCTGTAAGAGAATTAGCACAAATCTATAAGAATGACTTTCAATGTTTATTTATAAGTGAATGTAAATTCACACATTCACTGTAAACACCCTTGATGCATGAACATTTTTAGCCGAATCAACTGGACTTTTGTAGTAATCTCAATTCATCAAAAATACCTAACACAAAATCAGATTGAGTTAAAGTAACATCAAATCAATTGTTGTTGTGATTATTTGTCATATAATGTTTTAGTGTAAAAGGGTGTGAACATTCAATGTAAGCAATCGTAAAATATTAGGTGATTGTTACAATGTGGAAACTAAACACACAAAATAGGGCTGCATAGGAATGAGATGATGTTACGAGGGTTACAGCTGTTTGAAAGTCACGGATTTAAAACCGCTAAAAATGTTCTGTTATATCATTCCTGCAAAATACTGTATGTACGTTTTTTTTTTTTTTTTACATGTTGTCAAAGACTCATTCATTCATCCATTAATTTTCTTTTTCGGCTTAGTCCCTTTAATAATCCGGGGTCACCACAGCAGAATGAACTGCCAACTTATCCAGTACATGTTTTACGCAGCGGATGCCCTTCCAGCTGCAACCCATATCTGGGAAACATCCATACACACTCAATCACACTCATACACTACGGACAATTTAGCCTACCCAATACACCTGTACCGCATGTCTTTGGACTGGGGGGGAAACCGGATCACTCGGAGGAAACCTTACGCAAACGCAGGGAGAACATGCAAACAGAGAAACGCCAACTGACCCAACCGAGGCTTGAACAAGCGACCTTCTAGCTGTGAGCAGACAGCACTGCCTACTGCGCCATGGTGGGGCTCTTGTTGTCAAAGACTATTTTATTTATTTATTAAGGACAGTAGTATCTAAAGCAATAAAGGATTATCCACATCAAAAGCTACTGGTCAGCCCACGATTCAGCAAACATTTGAAAATCAAATAAAGTTTTTTTTTTTATCCAAACATTTAAAAATAACTTATTTTAGATTAGCAATTACAGGTTATCATACCTACAGAATCTTATACCGGCCAATGCCTAGGGCTGCATTAACATCTCATTTCAGCACAGATAACGCAATGTGCAATCCAGTCATGTTGTCATGTTGCAGGATATGGAATGTCAATTAGGCCCCGTTTACACTGTCAGTTAAATGTGACCCAATTCAGATTTTCTGCTCATATATGACACAGATTGAATCTGTTCTATGACCGTGTAAACATGAAAAAAAGCACAGGCATTTGGATATTCAGAGATCAGTTTCTGATCTTCTTCATATGTGGAAATAAATTGGATATGTGACAATGCGACTATCATGTAAAAAGGCAGATCTGATTTAGGGCCTACTCACACTGTGCTATCTGAATCGTGCCCAGGCCCGTTTCCCGGATCGTTTGAGAAGTGTGAGTGCGCTGAGTCGGGCTCAGGCAAGGTTCACTTGGCCGGCCCTGGCCCGGTTGGAAGAGGTGGGCCTGATTGCGGTTCACTTGAGCTTTGAAAGCGAGACGTGACTTTTAAGGGACTGTTTTATATGGATTTATTAATCAATCTTACTGTTCAATAAACGCAAACTGATGTAGTTGATTAAATACGCAAACCTCTCACTGCACGACAGCTGCGCACCTTCAGCAAACCTCCTCATTCCAGCAGCACGAGGACTTTATGATTGTTTATGAGCGCCAAAAGTGGCGGATCTGTTCGGCGAAATATCTGACTGCATGTCACATATCAAACGACTGAAACAATATAACTAGAGAAACTAGAGAACTAGAACTAGAGAAATCTCCACTGTGCTGAGCGAGAGCGCTCACTGAACAGCACAGCATCGATGACGTAAGCGTGCCAAGGTCCGAGAGTAATGTGAGCGTGGGCCGTCGGGGGAGACAGGAAGGGGGACAAGTGTGCTTTGGCCCGGTTCAAGGCAACTGTACATAGTGTGAATACGGCCTTAGAGGCACTCCGTTTTGTACGTCATTAAACTTGCGACAATGTGGTACTTCTCAGCGGTTTAATGACAGAATAATGACAGAAGGAATAGCGTGTGTGGAGACACAGACGCGGTAAACAACAAAAACAGAGTATACATGGAGGAGGAAAGTGGTCAGTTGCCACAATTTGCTCTCATCAGACCTGAGATCTCTCTCGTGCTAACAAATATTGGACACCATATACAAACCATAGGCGCAAGCTGCGACGACAGCCCTTTCCCTCCTCCTCCACCTCATTACATTGTAAAGTTGGGCAAACTGCATATTTCGCAGAGATAAAAGCAAGACAAGTTCATCCATCTTGGCTAGTGTGGCGCAGATGCTAGAACCAACTTTTATGCATGCGTAATGTCAAAAATTGTATGGCAAGTGTAAACACATGAGATATGGGTCACAATTAAAAGAACGTGCAAACGGAAAGGCATAAAAATTCGATATAGGCAACAAATCGGAATTGGGCATCAAGATCTGACAGTGTAAACAGGGCCATTGAGACTGTGGTCGATTAATTGCAAACATTATCCACGTTCATCATTTGCTTTTTACCGTGTGATCATTCCAAGTGAATTTAAACCATTCAAGAGCAAGAAACACTTAAATGAAAACAGGCTTTTGTAGCCTAATCGCTCTAAAAAAATGGCCTTCAAGGGATAGTTCACCAAAAAAATGAAAAAAGAACCATCTCTAATTTTCACCATTTACATAGTCATCAACACACTCAAAAAATAACTTTTGCTACTTCTTCGAACTACTTATGAAAATGAGCTAAAACAACACAATTCTTGAGTTTGTTTTCAGTTACTCACTTTGTACACGTAAAACAGCAGAAGCTGCAATGTTTCCTCCAGAAAAGGATGCAGTGCACGTCAGTTTCCTCCCTTGGTCTTCGATGGTACCAAGAAAGGTTATGTTAGAAAAGGCGACTCGATCTGAACCAGAAAGTGTTTTTCTCCCCTCTGAGACCTGCATGTTCTCGTAGTTCCATGATATGGATGGATTCTCTTTCTGACAGGAATGGTAAATGGTACAGGTGAAGTTCTGTGCGACGCCCTCAGTGACATCTGCCATTTCAGGCTCAATAACAATTCTATGATGAACACCTGAAAATTAAACAAAAACTTGCATTAGGTGGAACTGTGTGAATTTATTAGCTTATAGCAGTATTGTTTATCTTCACTCACATTGTGCACTTTTGTCTATTGCAGCTGATATGGATTTGCCACCATGGTATGTTACTGAACAGTTAAAAGCTGTGTTTTCTGCCTTTACAACTACTGTGCGTGTCAGATTGATTTTGCAGTGACCGTACTCATTACACTCATCTTTGATTTGATCGGATTCAGATCCCTTTGCACCATTCAGAGTGATGTTTGGTTTGCTCCATGGACACGTATGAAAAGATGAACATACTACTGTGATCTTGTCCCCCATCTTTTCACCTCCATAAATTAATATGGTGGGTGTCGGTGGCTGATCTACAATTGACAAAAATGTTACATTTAGTACATCATATATTTAACAAAATAATTTTAAATTGTCAGAATACTTGATTTTGAGTTCCAGCAACAAAAGGGGAAAGTTTCCCAAGAATATTCACATACTTTCGACTAAAATTGTAGAGGTGATGTCATAAAATGCGTAAGTGCGCCATCCAACATTTTCAGGATCGATCCATGCATATATTTTCTCTCTATGGTGGGACTGTTCCAGGTTTTTGATTAGGAGACTGCAATCCCAACCAGAGTTTCTATATAAATCAGTTTTTCCTCTGAACTTGTCAATTACATCCCTTGGATACCATGAATCGTAGACTAAAGGATAACCTCTAGAGACCCACTGATACCACACAACTCTGCGTGGATCTTTAGGTGGGTATAATGTGTAGCTGAAAGAACATGGAATCACCAGACAGGAACCTTGGAGGCCGTGAATGGCCTGCGGCATATTCACGTTCCATGCCAAAGCATCAAACAGCAGAACACCTGAGGGACAAAAATTTAAGAAAATGATGTAAATGAAAATCAATATTGAATTAATGAACATGTAAAAAAAATGTTCTGTAAATTGCAGCTGTGGTTGTAGCCAAAAAATTACCTTTAAAAAATGGTAGAAAGCTACGAAACAACATAATGGTACCACACAAGACACTAATGTAATGCAAGTAATGCAATTACCTGGATTTATCTAAATCAGATGTAACATGAAAATGTAATGTACATAATTACTGAAAAAAAGGTTAAAAAAATACCATAGTAATGTAAAAAATAAATAAATAAAACATGAGTTTAGCATTTAGGGATTTTTTGAGACAGTCAATTTACGGTAATTTTCCATTTATATCAAGTTAACCAATCTACAGTAATTCACCAGGAAACATACCCTTAAGCAGGAAACAAATTTCTACTGCAGCATTTTTTAAAATTTATTTACAGATAAAATCAGCCATTACAATGCGTATTTTATGACGCAGTATTAGGCATTATAGTGTTAATCACTATTAACTTTAATTTCAATAGCACACATACCAATCAAAGGCTGACCATATACATATATTTAATTTATTACTACTTGACCTAAATGTTTTGCAACATCAAAGACAAAAAAATAAAAAATAATCAATTGCATCCACAAAGAAGGGAGAAAAACAGATATACCTTGTAAAAGCAATTTAAGGAGCAGAGGTCCCATCACATTCCTGGGTTTACCCTATAGAACAAAGTCAACTGTTGTTTTAGGTGCACAAAAAATAAAAGCAAGAACAATTTGTCTTAATATAACTACAACATTTTAATGTCTGTTTTTCCGTTTTTCAAATGCTATAATTTAGGTAGTATAAATTGCTAATCAAGATGAGAAATTATTCTAATATAAGTTTTTCGCCATGAATTGAATAAAATGTGATACACTTTCTTACCTTCTTCAGCAGTACTTCTTTCTTTTTGATCACATAAAGAGCGGTTTAAATAAAAGAGGTCAACACAATGTTCTGCAAAATGTGCAAAGGCACTGTGTATGTGATAAAATCCTATTAGAGGAAGGGTAATATCTCCTTCCTATTATTGAACCATTTTTGTAGACAGAGTAACAGAGAGAGAGAGAGAGAGAGAGAGAGAGAGAGAGAGAGAGAGAGAGAGAGAGAGAGAGAGAGAGAGAGAGGGTTTTACTTTCCTCCAAATAAGGCTTGTTATTTTGTGCTGCCACGTGACCACAATATTCTAGTATATTAAACTATAAAATACTGAATAGTACAGATCAAAAGAGATTTATTTCAAATCTTTGATCTCACTGGCAATAAAAAGTAAATTCACGTATACAGAAAATTCCCCTTAAGCTTACAGTATACATTTTTGCAACATTTTATGAACTAGAATCTGTAAAATATATAAAATGAGAGACTGTTTAAGCAGGGCATCAAATTACACACAGTACTGCGACAATGGTTTATGGTCACGGTCACTTTTTCAGATTGAAAAGCGAGTCAAATAATGAGAAAAGAAAAAAAAAAGGAAAATTTATAGATCAAATTTTCTGTAAATATTTGACAATAAATAGACACAGATTCCAAATGACAACTGAGGTTGTGTTGATTTTTTACTTTATTAAACATTTAGGATACATGGTGTATATATATATATATCATCATGAAAAAACAAAAAAGCAATAGTTTATAAAGCGTAATTTAAAAGCAGATCACAAGTCAAAAATAAGAACACCCAAACTAATGTGTTGGGGCAAATATTTAATACAATTTTAATAAACTTATAAATTTTAATAAATTTATAGCAAGATAAAGAATATATTTTTTAGTAGAAATGTTAACATTTTTGAGAGACATTTTTTTATATTCAATTAAAGTCAGAATTTTTCACTCCCTTGTGATTTTTTTTTTAAATATTTCCCAAATTATGTTTAACAGAGCAAGGAATTTTTCACAGTATTTCCCATATTTTTTTTTTCTTCTGGAGAAAGGCTTATTTGTTTTATTTGGGCTAGAATAAAAGCAGTTTAATTTTTTAAACCATATCAATGACAATATTTTGAGCCCTCTTATACTAGCAATATTTTTGTTCGACCAACAACCATTGTTATACGATAACTTGCCTAATTACCCTAACTTGCCTAGTTAACCTAGTTAATCTAGTTAAGCCTTTAAATGTCATTTTAGCTAAATACTAATATCTTGAAAAATATCTAGTAAAATATAATTTACTGCCATCATGACAAAGATTTAAAAAAAACAGTTATTGGAAGTTAGTTATTACAACTATTTTGTTTAGAAATTATGTTTAGAAAAAAAAAAAACATTATTATTTAGCATAACATTCGCAATGATATATATTCAGTTGAAGACAATATTATTAGCTTGTGATTTTTTTTTCTTTTTCAAATATTTCCCCAGTGCTGATTAACAGAGATATTTTTCAATCAATTTTAATAATAGTTTTAATAAGTAATTTATTTTGTTTTTGCCATAACTGCCATTTTTCTGACTGGCTATGGACTCACCTTCACTTTTTATGTGGAAAGAATTAGATACAGTACACCACCTCTGAGAACTCTGTACAATTTGATATAATGATAAAATGAGGAATGCAGTCTTTGTTTCTAACACAACATAAAGCCTAATAATGTTGCTTAATTTCTAAAAATTGGAACATTTTCTTCTCTCTCTTTTGCTATGTTGTTTTGTAGGCCATACGTTTCTTGTATGTCGCCATTTGCCCTTGTTTCATTCTTTAGTTTAAATTTTACACAGATTGTTGTTACGTGAGGGCTTTGTTTGTCTGTCAGTTCTTTGTCTTACTGTGTCTGCAAAAACAATAATATAAAATGATAGATTTTTTAAAATCTTAAATTGTTATATATTTATTAATATTGATATACTTTTATTATACGTTAATATTTATGTATTGTCTTTATTCCAGCCAAACATACATATACATGATATATAATTTAATATAAAACAAATTAATTAATTAATTAATCTAAAACTATTTAAATTTTACAGGAGGGCTAATTATTTTGCCTTGAAAATCTAGACATATATCAATATGGCTTACTACATATATTAATATGGTATACTATGTCTAAGCCATGATAGGCTGACTGTAAAATGAATCACAATACTATATGTAACAGGAATGCATGCTCTATCTTAGCCTGTGTGAAGTCTACAGTCTTCGTCTGGCAAGTGGCATTTTCTTCAGATATTTCCATACAAGTTTAAATCTGCCGTGTTGGTGTAATCATCATCATCATAACTTTCAGCCTTCATTATAAAAGAGAACAGAAATACATAAATTCACATTAGGCAGACAAAAACACATTTTACATAACATGAAAATGTTTTAGATCACCTACAAGACATGACCCCCAATACTTAGAAATAGATGTTAATGATAATAAAACAATTTTCACAAGAAATACAGTAATAGACTAAGTAATAATAAGGTATATACTCACAGTGTAACATTTGCTCTGACTGGAGTTAACCATGAGGAAAAGAAAAGAAAAGAGGTAAATACATTGATCAGCAATTATTAGCATAGCAAACAAAACATTTGTTTATGATGTGTTTTTTTTTTTTTTTGGAGGAGGGCAAACCTTTTAAACACGCTGAATGGAATTATAATTAAATTATTATTATTATTATATTACATTATTATAAGCGAAGCAGTGGCGCAGTAGGTAGTGCTGTCGCCTCACAGCAAGAAGGTTGCTGGTTCAAACCTCGGCTCAGATGGCGTTTCTGTGTGGAGTTTGCATGTTCTCCCTGCATTTGCGTGGGTTTTCTCCGGGTGCTCCGGGTTTCTCCCACAGTCCAAAGACATGCGGTACAGGTGAACTGGGTAGGCTAAATTGTCCGTTGTGTATGAGTGTGTGTGTGAATGTGTGTGGATGTTTCACAGAGATGGGTTGTGGATGGCAGGGCTTCCGCTGTGTAAAAACTTGCTGGATAAGTTGGCGGTTTATTCCACTGTAGCGACCCCGGATTAATAAAGGGACTAAGCCGACAAGAAAATGAGTGAGTGATTGAGATTATTATAATATTTAAACATAATTGTACAAGATGATAACCTCTACTAGACTCTCTCAGCAAACAGGATTATTTAAGCACTAAGTACATATATTAGCCATTTAATTAATAATTAATGTTTTTTTTTTTGTTTTTGTTTTTTACCTCTTTGGTGATGGCATTCGAGCTTTGGAGAACTCCTTGTCTCCAAACCCTGCATAGTTCCTCCTGTCAGGACATATACAGTAGATAACTCAGTGATATGTAATTTAAAGTGTCAGTTCACCCAAAAGTGAAAATTACTTTATAATGTATTCTTTCTCATTGTGATTTTAAACATTCTTTAGTTTCTGTCTTTGGTTGAACACTAAATAAGATATTTTGAAGAATGCTGGTTGCTGGGATACATCAACTTCCATAGTAGGAATAAAAACAACTAAGGAAGTCAACGGGCAACCAGCAATTTTTTGATATATCTTCTTTTGTGTTCAACAAAAAATAGAAACTAATAGCTTTTGAGTGAAATTAATATACTGTGGCTTCTCTTTAAAGATATAGATTCACATATAGGAAATGTGCATGAAAAAATCTAGATTGTAACTCTTCACAGCATGGTGAAAGAAGTAAAAAAAAAAGTACACTTTTATAGAATACACTTATACATTTTGTTTATCCGCAGTTTTTATGTTTTTTTTTTTTTTTTTCAAAGGTTCATAATGTTCCTGGGAAGTAATACATATAGATCAAAAACAGTTCTGCCAATTCTATATGAGATTTTAAAATTCAAATAAAGATTCGATTTCCTAAAAATACTTATTGACTGACTGTTTAACTTTATAGAACCTCAGTGTATTGTCAGGAGCCACAGTCAGTGATTTTACTTTGCCTGTGTGACTCTCAAAGTGCTGGTAGCTGTTGACTTGCATTTTAAGGCCCCGTTTACACTAATACGGTTTAGTTTTAAAATGCTTAAGTTTTGTTACTGTTACACTTTCCATCCACACTACCTTAAAGATTTTGAGGCCCAACAACGGAGCATTTTGGAAATGCCAAAGAGGCTGTTTTGGTTTTCAAACGCTGCTGTTCCATGCCAAGTGTAGATGGTGGAAAACGGAGACATCTGAAAACTGAGGCGTGGCTGCAGACATCTGCCTATGTGATTGGGACTTTTTTTAAATATTAAGTAGCCTACACACAGTTCAGTCTTGCATCCTTCCTTTTAAGTTCAGACTTCGCAAGTTTAATATAGAAAGCAAACTCCCGAGGACACATTGGGTAAAAAGGGAACAGTGTACTTTATGTCATTCGCATCACCCTGGTTACACTGTTTTAATATCTTAACAATAAAATGAAAACATGATATGAGGAACTGCCTATATGCATTGTGGTATTAACAACTTAAGACACCAAAAATGTTGAGGCAAAGTTTAGCTGCATATTTATACGAGTGTCATTTTCACTGTAAATTTATAACAAAACTGAGCCTACGACATAACTGCCTCTTTTCATTTTCCTTTAAAAATACAAAACATACCCTGTTTCTTTTGCTGAATATCAGTTTTAATAATAATAAATGGTCAAAAGTATAACATACAATAAGTTTAGGAAATTAAAGCAAGCAATCAGTCAATATTACCTGAGAACAAGTAATAAATTCAAAAGACCATTAGATGAATTAAATATCACATTTAACAACAACAGTAAGATGAGATCCAGCGGTTGATTCTTGATGAACTGTCTGACGTGCGCTGCTCTCACCTGGGTATGTGTTCTCAAAGTAATAGCTGACTGCCTGGAGCTCAGATGTCCTATACGCTGCAGTGCATGCAAGAGTGTGTGTGTGATCACGTGATGTGCGTTTTCAGCGGTGTAGTGTGGACGGAGATCTGTTCAGAAACGCTAGGTGAAACGCCAGTGTGAATGTGGATCGCTTGCATTCTAAAACACTGTTTTAAAACTAAAACGTATTAGTTTAAACGGGGCCTAAGAATCAACAAAATAAAAATCATCCCCTTTAATCCCCTATTGAAAAAAAAAAAAAAAAAAAACTTGATGAGCAAATTAATGGCACATTTTTGTTTTCAGGTGTACTATTTCTTTAAACATCATTCAAACTAAATAGCAAATACTTACTTATTGTCAAAGCCCCTGTCAATCTGATGCCTTTGATCTCTCCTTTAAAATATAGGAAACAACAGATATTAGTCTTTAGGTACATTTTTTGACCAAACATTATTTTCAAAAGCTCAACTATTAGTTTTTCTCTTTTTCCCCTTTATTTGGTAATTTTCTACAATATTAGTTTTTGATTTTACTAAGAGCTGAACACTAAAAGCATAAAAATTGCTTTGGTACAAGTAAGATTGTGTGTTTAACAGATCGAAGCAGAAGTATGTTGATACCTTGAAAATCGACTCCAAATAGACCTCCTAAATCAAAAAGAAGAACAGAGAAATGCAAATGAGAACAGAGCATTTTACTTTTATTCTGGTCATGTCTAACATTAGAGCTTGACGCTTCACATGTACCACCAACAGTGATGAGCATTTATTTATCAAACCACAAGCTGGTGAAATGGTAGTGATAAAGGTCTATCTCTATTTAAAAACGAAGTTTAAAATAGTTTGTGTAAATGAAGTACTCTGTGAACACTGTAAAGACTCAGACCCAACAATAGTTCTGTCTCTTTAGATTTGACAATATTGTTGATTAAACCAGCTTTTCTGCTGTTTAACTGCATTGTTTACACATACAAAAAGCAATTACATGAATTAAAATTCTTCATAATTAAAAACAAATTTGCTAAAATTAGCTTCGAATTCAATAGTCATACAGACTTTGTTTGTAATTCATAAATTTATAATTGTATATTTTATTTAATCTTGTATTTAGTTAAAGCCGTGTCAATTTCATTACACAATTAGAAACATTTGAGTCAATTTTATCATATTTGACAAATTAAGACACATTTTTGAGAACAATTATGACAAAATACATTCAATTTCTTGATACATAATCATTTTCACAAACTTTGGATGACAGATATTCAATCTTACAAGTTCAATTCCAAATGAGAGATTTTTAGTAACTCTTTACTATTAACAAAAGCCCATTTGGTATATTTTCAAACGGAATATCAGCAGTTCTGCTTTGTTGCAGAAGAGCACATAATAATCTTTTGTGTACTTGCCTCTGCTCTCTGCCACCTAGTTCACTTCTACCTTCGCCTGAGCGAAACCTGTTTATCACACAAACAAGAAAGATAATTATTATAATTTTCAATTTCATTATCATAACTAATGAAGACTGCATGGTTAATGCAATACAGATGGCAAACAAAAAAATTAGATGCTAGTTACCTGCGAGACATTCTTGAGAGTCGATTCCACACTCTAAAAAACATATTATAATAAAATAAAAAATGAACACATGAGATTATTAAATCTACAAAAACAATTACTGTATGATTACTTTTTACATTCTATTATATTGGTAACTTGGGGAAACTTTATTATTAAATACTGATATTGGTAAGTCGGGTAAACTTTATTATTAACTACTGGAAACAAGTCTATGTGCTTTTACCAGCAGGAAACGTCTTTAACCACAGCGTACTTTCCCCTCCGCAATTCTCACATACAAAATAAAACATCATCATATATAGTTTGACTATTTGTATCAGGAATGTGATCCGCAGAAAACAAAAACATAATAAATTCAAATATAATTATAATAAGGTGTTGACGCCATATTGGTTCCCTAAGCAACACTTCAGTGAATACTGTCGTCAACATTTGATCAAAGGTTTTGATACATTTTAAATGTGGACTACTGTAGCTTTTAAGTTACTATAAAGTACCTTCTGTTAAAAGTTCATTATGGAATGATCAATTCTGTTAACAAAATCTTTATTGATAAAAGCACGCTCTGTACACTTTAAAAGCTAATTTATTATCAATCATTTAAGGCTAGAAGCACATCAAGTTAGAAATTTCAAAAGTACAGAATTGAGTACTTAAATAAATAATAAAAAAAATAAAAAACATTCATTCCCTGCTAACATTTATTTGGTACTGAGCAGATTCTGAAACACTGCTGATTGGCTATTGTGTTCATAAGCTAAACAGACATTACTGTGATCCTAAACACAGATACACAGACTCAGGAGCATTTGAAAGCTACATCCATCAGAGGACCTGTCTATGAGCTGATATATGAGCAATTCAATGACTTTCAAATGCTCCTGTGTTCATGTATATGTGTTTGCATTCTATGAACAGTGTCAAGACATACTCACAGTAGCCAATTACAGACAGATCTCTTGAGTTTATAAACCCCAATGGCCAGTCGATTGTGTTAAAGGATACACTCAACAGAGATCAAAAAGCAACAGGGAAATGCTTGCACCAAAATTAAACAAGTAAATGTAGTAGACTGGTACTAAATTCTGTACTTTTGACATCCCTACACGAAACACTGAATTTCTTGTTTCTGTTTCTGAATCTGTTTCGACATCCCACTGAGGGAATATGTGGGTAAATGTCTTTCTTGTCTCTCCTTCCTTCCCTTTTGTTCCTTTTCTCCATTTCCCTCCCTTAATAAAGTTTGCTCAAAATAGTTTTTATGCAAAATACGTGTAATTTTTCTATCCTTGTGGAACTTGTACACTGCTATCCTTTCCACAGAAGAAGATCCTCATAATTATAAAATCATAATACAGATTTGCAATTTTAAGAACTGTAGAGGGTGTGTGCTTTTTCCACATCTTATTTAGAGCAAATCCCAATTTCCTATCACAATCCAAATTGGACAATATTTATCTTGATCTGATGGAAAAATTGCAAAAGACAGCAGCCAGAACCCATTATGTTTATTCATAATGACTATTATATTTACTGGATTTTGTCCTTACTGCAATTCTATGACCAGGATAATGACATTACTGAGGCAGTAAATGCATTATTAGTCATTGATTTCACCTGTCACTAAACAAGTTGTACAAAATGTGATTTGATAATGAACAACCTGTAAAAATCTAAGCCAAATGATATTTGTAATATTAGTAACCTCTGTAACTGCTGATTTTTTTTTAGAGGTTTTCACCTTTAATGACAGGATAGTGGAGATTTACAGACAGGAAAGTATGGGGAGCAGAGAGGGGAGGGATCAGCAAAGGATCTCGAGCCGGGAATTGAACCCGGGTCGCCGAGAGCACCTGGATGCTATATGTCGATGCACAAATGACTAGGCTATTGGCGCCAACTAACCTCTGACTATTAATGGTAAAGCTACAATTTGAGATCTACTTTTGACTGGAGTATATAGACTTGTTATATTACTTTATATTACTGATTGCAATGTAAAAATGTGCACCATTTGTAAAGCTGCTTTAGAACAATAATTGCGAAAATCCCTTTCAGTTATTCAGTTAAACGGAATTGAAAAATATGACTTTGGCCCTTTTGTGTCAAAACAAAATCGGTACACATAGATCAAAAACACTTTCACACTCTTTTTTTTTTTTTTTTTTTACTTTTACTGACATCAGTTTCTTTCCTAACATCAGTCCTGATGATAAAAGTAAAAGTCACTAATTTTAAGGATGCAGACCGTTTAGATCAGGGGTCTCAAACTCGCGGCCCGCAGGCCATTTGCGGCCCTCAGTGCAATATTTTGTGGCCCGCGCCGACCGCTGTACACTGACAGAATCAGCGGAGCGGGGAGAGAGAGCGCTCCCCACTCCGCTGATTCTATCCATACACAGCGGTCACTGGCATTCCCCGCCCGCCGTGTAAACAAAGGGGCGGGGATGCCGGTGACATCACCATGCCCCCTGCCCCTTTGTTAGACGCTGTGACTGGCGGGAAGTGTTAGGAGGGAACTCGCGCTGGCCAGAACCAAGGTAAGCTGTTCCCGCCCCTGCCTGCCACTTAGCTACCTAGCTACAGCCTGCATCTTATATATATTATAGGTAGATACAGACTGGTACAGACTGATGTGACTGGAGTGGGGTGGGGGTGTTTTATTTATACATATATACGCCTTTTTTTTAGGTGAGGGAATGGAAGTTTTGAGTGAGTTCCCCCACTTTTCTCCCTAGGACTTGGCCTTTTTGGGAGCACATATTTGTGTGAGAAGTTATTCTCTACCTTGAACTTCAATAAGTCAAAGTACAGGTCTAGACTTAATGATGATCATCTTCAAGCCATACTGAGGGTCTCAACTGCTTCCGCTCTAAAGCCAAATGTGGTTCAGATTTGTGAGAAGAAGCGCTGTCAAGTCTCTGGCCGCAAGGAGTAGGCAAAAGATGCCATGTTCAGAAGAACTGTTCATAATCTTCACTCAATGTTCAATTAATGTTCAGGACACTTCATGTTCAGAAAAAATAATTAAAACTGTTAATAATGACATATGAGGACTTTTTTTTTGTGAAATCCCTTATGCGGCCCAGCCTCACCCAGACTTTGCCTCCTGCGGCCCCCAGGTAAATTGAGTTTGAGACCCCTGGTTTAGATAATACCAATGCTGTTTATTTAATGAAAACTCAAATAAATGTAATATTTTTCCACATGCTAAAGCTTAGGTTTCAAACTTGATTCCTGGAGGGGCACAGCTCTGCACAATTTTGCTTCAACCCTAATCAAACACAGCTGATCCAACTAATCAAGCTGTTCAAGACTACTAGAGACTATTAAGCACACTGTAAAGCCCAACAGTAAACTTTATCAAATAAAATGAGCGTTTAACTCAAAATTGATTAAAAGTTAATTTACTCATTTGAAAAGAGTTTTGAACTCATTGTTAAAGGTAATGAGTTAATTAAATATCTTATTACTTCAACCTAAATGGAGTAAGTTCACAGTACTCATATAGATTTTTTTTTTTCAAATGGTTTGAGTTAACTTAACCTATTGGGTATTACAGTACTCAGTTGTTTTGAGTTCTCTTAATTTATTGAGTTTTACTGTGCTCAAGTTGTTTTTATTTACTCAAACAGATTAAGTTTACAGTACTCAAATACAGTATGATTATTATTTTTTTTTTTTATTTTTTTACTAAATAGCTCAATGGAATCGGTTTCCTCAAACAGTTTGAGTTACCTTTACTTTATGGGTTTTACAGAGTTGGAGGTGGTTGAAGCTAAACTATGCAGAGCTGCAGCCCTCCAGGAATTGAGTTTGAGACAGTTTAAGACCATTGTACTAAAGGCTAAGCTAAATGTTTTGGATTATTATAGTCTTGGCAATCACACAGCATTTTTCTGTTAAATAGTGGCTTAATATTACTACTCACCCAACTCCTGATTGAAGATCAGCAATGCGTTTCCTGTGTGATTAAAATTTTTACACAAATTGTTACTGAGAGATATCACAATGCATTATCAGACTATCACATAATAAGAAACCACTGTATTTACATTAAATATTTGTATTTTGGCCAATGTAATTTTTATTGAGATCCTTCCTCGATGGGTATGTTTAAATGGACAGCAATACTACAATTGTAATACAATTATAGGACTCTGATTAGGAGTCTGCCATGTGAACAGCAATAACCTTAATCAGAATACAGTCATAATCAAACTAAACAGAAAACAAATTAAGACATGTGGAGTATTCATATCTTAGTCACATTATTAAAGTGCAGTACTGACATTTAAAAACTGCAATCAAACTATTACCAATTTGTAGTCAATTTCGCTACATTTTGCAACAGAATGCAAACCCGACAGTTGTCTCCATTCTCCATTCAAAACCCCTCTCTACCACCAGAAATTACTACATCCTCTCATCCACTACCTCAGAAATTGTCATGGGGGCATGAATGAAAAGTTAGTGAAAGAAATGGCAGAGGTGGCCTGTTGCTTGATTTTTTGTATCCGCCATCGACTGTTTGCACGCATAGCGTGAAAAATTAACTGCGTTTGAACTTGAACTGTTGTTGGGCGAAACGCCAGAGGAAACTATCGCTGTGACGTAATAATGTTAATCGAACTATGTACAAAGCAACATTCAAAAAGCAACTCATGTTAGCACCTTAATCATATTATTGTCTTACTCAGATTAAAGCAAATAGTTAGATTACTGATGTCCATGTAAACTTAGTCAATGACTTTGCACATGTGAAACACAGAAACCACATACTGTATGAAATGCACATGGGAAATGTGTATTACTTGCTTCACATGGGAATGCACACTTCAGGTGATACACACAAAATCGTTCTAAATACACATATTATCTCATGTGCATTTCACATGTGGTTCTTGTGTTTCACATGTGATTTTAACAGTTTCACATGTAAAATTTCTGTAAGGGTATAATAAAGTCAGATTAAGGCCTACCTATATCGCTTGACAACAAGGAAACACACAGTTCCAACCAAAAGAGCCGCTCCAAGTCCAGATAAGGCGGGTATGATGATGTGACTGAGAGTTGCTTTTTCTGGTTAAGGAAGAAAAAAAAACTCCTAATCACTTTTATGGATCACTGTACATCAAATTCTAGATGTGTTTTATGCAATACCTTTCACAAAGACAGGACGGCTGGCTTTCATTTTACCCTTGACATTCCCGTGGTACTTGACTGTGCATTCGATAGAGGTGTGACTGTCCTCCTTTGTTGGGGTGAAGGTCAGGAGAGACTCTGCTTCCCAGTTTCCATGACCCAAGCTCTTGTAGCTCGAGATGATTTTTCCTGAGTGGTTCCAGCTGAGAGAGGGCTGGTGGGTCGGACAGGTGTGTCTGACAGAGCATTTGAAGATTGCAGGTTCCCCCTCAAGAACAGACGTCTCAGCCTCCACCACAGGATTTGGTGCTTCCTCTATATGCATATTCCCAATCACAAAACATATATTTTCTATTTAGTTTTGTTTCTCTATTTTGTACTGTGATATTTGCAAGCATTAAAAAAATGTTTTTACAACAGATCAAGCACACTTACCAATCATATTAATTGACACACAGTTTTCCGCAAAAGAGTACTTGTCTTCTGGAGCTGTTTCTAATTCCACCCTGAAGCAATACGGGCCATTGTCAATGTTTTTCACTTCATCAATCTCCAAGGAGCAGTTGGAACCACCAAGTGAACCAATCAGTTTTGTGCGACCTTTAAAATTGTCTTCAACCAGTGTCTTGTCTCCATGAAAGATGATGTCATCCCATTTTTTTTCTTTGTGCCATATGCCTCTAATACGATCAGAGGGCTGCTGCTGAGCAGGGTATGTGAATTTACAAGGCAACACCACACAAGACGAGACCAGAGCCTCCATTTTATGCTCTACATCCACCTTCCAAACATCAGCAAGCACGACTTCACAAAAAACTGCAAAAAAAATATAAAATCTGTGAAATATTTAGCTCTTTAAACTTAAAGGACAGTTCAACCAAACATTATAAGTTGCTGTTAATTGTCTGACCTTCAGGCACAGATGTTGGTGACCCATGGTAATTCATAAACTGCAAGTCAACAGCTATTGGCACTTTTTAGAGTTAAAAAAAAACATTATGTTCTCAATGATAATGTTTAGCTTCTCACACCAATCCTTTGTTTGAACTTAACAAAATCTCAATGTATTGTCTTTTTTCTACTGTTTTGGCTTTTTTTTTTTTTTTACTTAAATTGACAAGGCTCATTACCTTGCAAGTTTTGAATCACCAAGAGCGATGAGTTCAGACAAAAATCATCTTTACTGCTCTACTGAAAAAAGATTAAAACATTTTGAATGGCCCATGCATGAGTAAATTAACAGCAAGTTATAATTTTACAATAGTCCACACAGAAATTGTATTCACAATTTAAAAATATTGAATAGAAATGACCAATAAGAGTAACATGAAATGTTACACAAAATGCACACATATAAACACTTGCACTATAAAACACTAATGAATGTTTTAAAATCATACCGTGAAGCCAAAAGAGAAAGAGTCCTGTCTGTCCACCCATACTAGCCTGAACTCTAGAAACTGAGGAGGCAAAAACATGTCAAATATGGATTTGTTTGCATGTACAATATTTTTTGCTTAAAGATGAGGAAATGCCTATTCAGTGTTCATATTATTCTGAGATTTAATGCCAAGTAAAATATTTCTACTTATTTTTATTTATGTTTTGTTTCAGATAGTGAAATAATGCAAATTATCATATGCATTTGTTTATATTGTGTCAATTCTTATTCACCAAGAAGGTTTATACAGATTCCAAAGGCAGATACCGATAAGATCAGGGCCAGGGGCCTGTTCCATAAACCAAGCTTAGAGAAAAAGCCAGGCTTATCTTGGTAAGTCAGGTTTATTAATGGCCAATTATGTTTTATAAATCAAATTTATGATAGTTCAAACTCAGTTACTCTGGCAATTTATGCTGGGAAACCAGCCTGGTCCAGGGCAGGTTACCTCTCAGGGTAAGTCTTAAGTTCATCCTTAATCAAAGTAATGTTAACATTCGCCTGTCATAAATTGATGGCATTTTAATTTACTAAACCTAACTCCTAATAAACTCATAATAATGATTAAAACTTTATGGTCACTTAATATTAAATACCACACATCTTTAGGAATAGAATGACAATACATTTAAATTTAATAAAATAATGCAATAAGTTAATGCAAACAAACAAATGCAAACTACAATATTTCAACTACATTTTATATATTTTTAAATGTTTCTCTTGATTTTTTCCAGTTTTTTTAAATTTTATTTAACATTTTCTCCCAACATATTCATTTGGGTGTACAAATTTTTGGACTGTGATCATTGGTTAATTTTTTGTTAGATTAGTTTCATATTTTGCTTTAGTACTGAATAATGTCCTGCAGAAAATATTAATTTACAAAAAGAAATCTGTGAGGGGTGTATTTAGCAATATACAGTTGAAGTCAGAACTATTAGCCCCCTTGAATTATTAGACCGCTTGTTTATTTTTCCCCCAATTTGTGCCTAACGGAGAGATTTTTTCAACACATTTCTAAACATAATAATTTTAATAACTCATTTCTAATAACTGATTTATTTTATCTTTGCCATGATGACAGTAAATAATATTTGACTAGATATTCTTCAAGACACTTCTATACAGCTTAAAGTGACATTTAAAGGCTTTACTAGGTTAATTAGGTTAACTAGGCAGGTTAGGGTAATAATTAGGCAAGTTATTGTATATCGATGGTTTGTTCTGTAGAAAATAAAAATTTCTTAAGGGGGCTAATAATATTGATCTTGAAATGGTTTTTAAAAAATTAAAAACTGCTTTTATTCCAGCCAAAATAAAACAAATAAAACTTTTTCCAGAAGAAAAATTTTCATAAGAAATAATGTGAACATTTACTAGCTTTGTTAAACATCATTTGAGAAATATTTGGAAAAGAAAAAAATGCACAAGAGGGCGAATCATTTTGACTTTAACTGTATATACATACATACACACACACACACCCATACACACACACACACACACACACACACACACACACACACACACACACACACACACACACACACACACAACCCACACCCATACACACACATTTAGTTCTCCATCAATGTGTATACATATAAACAATACTTTGCCAAACTGATTTGTACATCTGTTTAACAAGTGGTACATACTGTATACATCTAAATTTATTCTTAAACAAAATAAAAGTGCAATAAACAATCATTGTAATTATGGATTATATTAAAAGAACCGTTTAAATATACTAAATAATAAAATTTAACAACTTTGTTATCATATATTAGTACAAAAAAAGATTTTATAAAAAGAAAAGGTAACCTACTTTAAGTGATGTGATGTGCCTTCAGTGACTGAATAATGAACTCAGCTGCATTGTAAACCACATATGTAAATTGTGTCAAAAACACACCCACATCAAGAGGAAGTCCAATCCACCATGCAGACTTCTGAGAATTCTGTGTATTTTTCATTTCTCATTTTTTTGCATCCCTTGAGAGTGCTGAAGATCATCAGAGTGAAGTCCAGACCCAAAGGCAGAAGTTTAACTGTTAGTGAAAATTAGCATATTCGACTTTCATTCATTCATTTTCTTTTTGGCTTAGTCCCATGAACCGCCAACTTATCCAGCATATGTTTTACACAGAGGATGCCCTTCCAGCTGCAACCCATCACTGGGAAACACCCATACACTCTCATTCCCACACATACACTATGGACGATTTAGCTTAACCAATTCACATATACCACATGTCTTCGGACTTGTGGGGGAAACCGGAGCGCCTGGATGAAACCCACGCCAACACGGGGAGAACATTCAAACTCCACACAGAAATGCCAACTGACCCAGCCAAGGCTCGAACCAGCGACCTTCATGCTGTGAGGCAACATCGCTACTCACTGCGGGACCCCAGCACATTATACTGTGAAACGGAAAACATTCTGCTTCACAACATTTTCATTCGATGCTGAAAATGTCAACAAAATGTCAAAAAAAAATTTAGGTGCCAGTGACATCAAAATTATCCTTGTCTGAAACACCCAGTGGATGGACGTGACCCTCAGTTGCCAGCGCAATGATATCATTGTAACCAGGAGATGTAACACTGACAACAAGGGTAAGGATCCAAATGCAGGTTATAGCAGGGATGGTCAGGTAAGCAATGGTCAATACAGGAGCAAACAGATGTATACGGGCAATCCAGAGCAGTAGTAGTCGTATTAGCAGGCAAGTGGTCAAAAGGCAGGCAGCAGACAGGATTAATCAAATAAACAAGGCAAGGATCAAAAACACGGCAAAACAAGACAAAAGAAAACACATTGTAGTGTCACAACAGATAACAAGACTCAGCAACAGTGTTTGTGTTTGAGCAGTACTTATTGTCCATGAATCAGTCCTTGAGGAGCTTCAGCTGTGCGAGTGTAATCAGTCAGGATCTAGAACATGTGTGTGAATGGAGTGCATGTATGAAGTTGTAGTCCATGAACTGGCCGATTTGTAGTTTGTATGAATGTTTTCCAGCGACCTCTGGTGGTTAGATCGCTGGTGATCATGACAATCATACAGTCTATTATTGCGATATATTTATAGGGTGTGATGTCCTATGCTGAAATGCAGTAACCTTCAAAAAATGTAGCTGTAATCTTTCTTTGTGCTTCAGTCATTGCTGTTCTCTAACTTTGATCATAGTGTTTTCCTTAGAGTTAAATGCTCAAAGGCCTCAATTATTTTATGAAACATTGTTCTGTGTTACGCTTGTACAAAAATACATAGCATGCTGTTTGTTTGTGCATCAATTGTTGGGTAACACGTACTTTTTGAGTACATTTAAAAATCTGTACTTTTACTCAAGTAAATTATTAGAGAAAAATCATTACTCTTACTTCGCTACATTTGACGATGTTCTACCATTACTGTCAAATGATAATAAATATGATTCATATGACTTCTTTGCAGATATCGAGAGGCACCGCAATGAAGAGCTTGTGTCGCGTGAGGTTGCTGTAGAGACGAGTCTCCCGCTTTTTGTTGCGCGCACACCTATGATGTGCTATTTGAAAGTAATGGCTGAAGTCGAGAAAGACGTACGAGTTTACTGCGTATATATTTATATATATATATATATATATATATATATATATATATATATATATATATGAAGTCAGAATTATTAGCACTATGTATATTTCCCCCAATTTCTATTTAACAGAAAGATTTTAGCAACACAATTCTATAGTTTTAATAACTGTTTAACAACTGATTTCTTTTATCTTTGCCATGATGACAGTACATAATATTTGACTAGATATTTTTCAAGACACTATGTGCAGCTTAAAGTGACATTAAAAGGTTTAACTAGGTTAGGGTAATTAGGCGGCTTAAAATGGTTTTAAAACATTAAAAACTTATTTTATTTAAGTCGATATAAAACAAGTAAGACTTAAACCAGAAGAAAAATTATTATAGGAAATACTGTGAAGAATTTCTTGCTCTAGTAAACATAACTTGGGAAATATTTGAAAAAGAAAAAAAAAATTCACAGGAGGGCGAATTATTTTGACTTCAGCTGTATATGTATGTGTGTGTGTGTGTGTGTGTGTGTGTGTATATATATATATATATATATATATATATATATATATATATATATATATATACACATACAGTTGAAGTCAGAATTATTAGCCCCCTTTTGATTTTATTATTATTTTTTTTATATTTCCCAAATTATTTTTAACAGAGCAAGGAAATTTTCACAGTATGTCTGATAATATTTTTTCTTCTGGAGAAAGTCTTATTTGTTTTATTTCGGCCAGAATAAAAGCAGTTTTTAATTTTTTAAAAACCATTTTTGGGACAAAATTATTAGCCCCTTTAAGCTAATTTTTTTTTTTTTTGATAATCTACAGAACAAACCATCATTATACAATAACTTGCCTAATTACCCTAACCTGCCTAGTTCACCTTATTAACCTAGTTAAGCCTTTAAATGTCACTTTAAGCAGTATAGAAGTGTCTTGAAAAATATCAAGTAAAATAATATTTACTGTCATCATGGCAAAGATGAAATAAATCATAAATTCTTTCAAATAATAAATTCTTTCATCGAATACTTTTTTTACTCTTACTTAAGTATCTTTTAAGATTGTTACTTTCACGTTTACTTGGGTTAAAAATTCTGCAAGTACTTGTACTTTTACTTGAGTATAGAATTTGGATTCTCTACCCACCTCTGTATGTATAAGATATCACATACAGACCCTAAGCATGCGTCAATAGTGCCACATTTATACAGTGCTCCTAGGACAAATGTCATTCAACTGCACTGGTCAAGACAGTGTGACAATGTGAAGATGCTGGATTTACTAATGAGCAAACAAAGAAAACAAAGCATTAAGAGAGAGCATTTCATTTGTAAGATTTAGTTTACGTTTTTGTATGTTATGAACTTTTGTGCTAAACAGGTAACGTTATTGATGATAATACAGTCACTGCATTCACCATAAGGCAAAAGAGCACCAACTCGCACTAAATACTCGGCTTATGCTAGTTTGTTGAATAAATTTAGCAAACAATGTTATGAGATATGACAACAAGATGCTGTGGTGCCAGAAACTTGTTGGCTAAGTGAACGAGTCATTCAGAAAGGAGATTCATTCACAAACGAATCACCCCCTCCATCACAATGAGAAGTGAAAGTAGGAGAGGGGGTGCATTTCAGGACAGATCAAATTAAACAGGGAGAAAGGATAATACATTTTCATGGGGACAAACACATGCTCTTTGTCAGCAATGCCCTTGGTCACTTATGCATCAATGTAGAAAAGTGATGTAAAATTATCATTTTCAAAATTGAAAAAAATATTTGCATACTGACCACCAGGTAAACGATCATAGATATATGTGTATCTTGTTTTGGATGGCCACAGTCCTCCACTGTACCCTGGTCTATGGACACATTCCCTCTATAGATAAAGATTCCTATAATAGACAACAGCAGGGTAGGTGACATCTAATGTATATATCTATGTTTCTAAGCCAATAAAATGGTTGCCATCTTAGAATGAATCTGGCTAAATTTTATGACAAATTTTGAAACTTTGTCCATAACAATTGTTTGTATTTTGAGTGTTTGGCCCATGTAAGAGTGATACTCTGGCAGCATCTTTTGGCCAAATGCCACTTTTTCTCACTTTCTCTAATTAAAAAGTACAGCATACTGTAAAGTAGCTATTTAAGCTGTTTATTAGCTACTAAAACACAATCCTCTAACAAACAATAAAGGGTAGGTTGTGTCTCTTAACAGAAAAGCAGTTTGGGAATTAAATGGTAGCCAAAGCCTGTATTGCATGCTGTATGTTAAATGGCAGGTTTAGACAATATTAAAGCACTAAAGTATGTGGGGAAACATAGGAAAATTAATGAATAGTAAACAAGAAATCATCATGTACTCACCCTTCATTACAAACATTCAGAATTTGTACTCATCCAGAGATAAAAAATCAGTTCCCTCAAATGATAATGTGTTTGAAAATAGAGAGAAAAGTGGTTCATTTTTAACAGAAAACACACAATAACATTTGCAGAGGTCTTCAAAACAAAGTTACACCATTATGTTGGCCTATGTATTTATGTGATTTATATTATACTATGGTAGTTGCGTTTGCATAGTGAGTGCTCAGGTGGTAAAATTGTGAAAAAAAACTGCTTTCTATTTTCCGTAATATATTTATGATGTAAAAACAAAGTTGTAAAAACTTTTGGTCAGGAAAGCTCGTCCGACAAAAATCGCCAACATAGCTCACTCGCTCCCTCTGCCGTTTAAACGCGAAAAGACGTTTGGATGAGCAGCTCTGGGGATGATTAGTGTGAAGTCGCGCTTTATCTTCTCGCGATAGGTGAGATAGTTGTTATCCCAAAACCGAAACCAAACTTTTTTTTTTTTATGACAAAATGAAACGTTTAAATAAAATTATATCACATTACATGACAGGGATCAAAACAGAAATGTATCTTTTTAACAGATTCACAGTTTTTACAGCTTTTTTGTTCGTACATTCAGAAATCAAAAACATATAAAGATTTAGATCTTCAAGAAAAATCTGAAAGAATGGTTTACGCTTACAAAATTTACACTTGCGTATAAAATATTTGGCCAAAAATAATAAGATTAAGATTATATAATAACATTAAATAAATAAATAAATAAATAAATAAATAAATAAATAAATAAATAAATAAATAAAAAGTTTGTTAGAAACCAAACTCATTATAATGACTTTCCCCAAAATGTGTCATGGTGAAGGAATCTACAGATTCGGTGTCTACTTACAAGTGCAAAAAACACATAAAAAGTTATATGTATTATTTTATATTTCATATATTAAATAACAATACTTTTTTCCCCGTTTTCTCATTCTTTCAACCTTCCAGTTCCTCCCCCTAATCCTCATTCATTTATTCATTTTCCTTCGGCTTAGTTCTGTTATTCATCAGGGGTCACCACAGTGAAATGAACCGCCAACTCGCCTCCCGCATGCAAAAGTAACACCTATATTGATTCAGGATTTAATTTTTTTTTTTGATTCAGCATTTGACTTTACAGCTCTCATCTCTATATTTGTTAACAGACAATTTGGGCAACTTATCAGAATTATGGCAATTGTCTTCCCGGCAATTTTTGATTGGATGAACATTTTTAGGCTTATGCCTTAGCCAGAATATATAAATACATATAAATATATTTAGATAATTTACTTTAATCATTACTATTGGAATGTGAAGAGACTTTCAACCAGCACAACAAAACAAGTTTCTGAAGACAATCACCTATTGCACCTTTAAGGTTGCTAAATACCCTGAAAATGTAATCACAGCTAGATCAGATCAAATAGATCCTATCATGAGTGGTGTGAATGTTTCATTACTAATCAGTTGAAGATCAGAGCCATTATACTATTTAATCCTATTTTCCCACAATCCAGTCAAAGATCAGAAACAATTAATCTAAAGCAAAGCTGTTGATTCCACTTAATGCGAGATACAACTGGAAGTTTACTATAAACTCTCCTCATTACCTCTATTTAAATCAAAACCTGACTGCAAACCAACCAGGACATCCATTCCAGATCAGCTCAGGTAAAGTCTGTCAGTGCTTTTTTACATGTATTGTGTGTGCTGAATGATTTGTGTACATCTACTATGCAAGTTTTGTAATTCATGTTAAAAAGCTGAACCTGAAACTATTAATTAAATGTTTGATTGTGTGTGATTTTTTTTTTCGTAGAACTTAACACTTAACGATATATACCATGGGTAATGGATCATCAAAGCCTCTTATGACTCAGGACCCAGTACCAAATTTTAGGAGAAATGAAAAACTGACAAAGGATACCCCAAATGATAATGTTCCTTTTGGAAATGCTGTACAGAAAGACAAAAACTGGAAAGTACTGTCAAAGAAAAACTGCAGAGTGGCGAAGCTAAATCTTGCAGCAGGCAATCGCATCCGTTACTCCAGCCTACCATCAGCCCTGGAGCCTGAAGAACAGGAACTCATTTCAGAGCAAAAATGGGAACTGTGTAACCCTGCCTTTGTGGAGGACAAAAACTCAAAGTAATGAGCATACTGACATCTAGTGGACAACCGCTTAAAAAGGATAAGAATTTTTTATATCAGCGTTACCTGGGACTTCAAGGGTTTTTTCATTGCCAGTGCAACAGTCATGACTTTAGATGAATTGCATTTCTTTATAGCATATCTGTCATTTGGCATGTCTTTCCAATCTTTGTATCTGAAGAATTTATTCTTCATATAAGAAGTGTGTATTGGGACTGAACACTCTCTGCATACACTGTACTGTAATAAAAATATGAACTTAAATGATGCATTTGCTAACAAATTGTATAAGATTTTTCCAAATACAAAGTTGTAGTTTGTATCTTTCTTTGTTTTTATTTGCATGGATCTATCTTTAGAATAAACGTCACTTGTTTGATGTGTTTTCGTATTTGATGCTCACAGAATTCAATGACTTTCAATTTTATAATCTCACATATTCATCTCTACAAAAATGAAGTTCTCACATCTTAACAATAAATCCTAATGACTTTACTTGAAAAAAACATCCCATTCAGATGCTTTACTGCTTTTTATAGACAACCTAAGAAGTAGTTTTGTTAAAAAAGATTTACCCATGACTAGGCCCACACAGAATCTGTGCGCACAAAATTCAGCAGATTTCCGCAGATTTTTAGCCCATCATTAATTCTGTTTATTTACTTGAGTAAATGTGTGTAAATCTATATTTATTTAGTTTTTAAATTAATTACAGTAATATTTTTAACTAATATGAAAATCTTCATCTGATTTATGTACAATGCAGTTTGTACAGTAATATTTTCTGTCTTTTAGTAGAGATATTATATGAAAGACTTGCTTTGTTTACCAAATAAAGTGAATCTAATTGGATTTGCATTTTAAACATTAAATAAAAGTTTAAAAGATATTATTTTTATTTAAAATATTAAAGTTTTAGTTATGATACTCTCAAAATAAATCTGCAGATTTTTACCAAAATTCTGAGCAGAAATATAAAAAAATGTACGCAGATTTCGTCTGGCCCTGCCCATGACTTTAAAACTGTGATTTATAAATAAATAAATTTACATATATACTATTTAAATGTAGTAATTCGGGTTACACTATACTGGGAAAATATGTGATATATTGTTGTGGAGTATTGCAATAATGATATTATCACAGACAAAAAAAAAAATTATTTGATTAGCTGCTTTTTATATAATAATCGTAATAGTATTAAAATAAGCAGGTAAAGATTTTTCAGATCTAATCAATTCTAATTGTAAAACATTGTCAATTTGCACACATTCAGACTTTAAAATACTACAAATAATGAATTAAAAATGCAGCAGATATTAGGAGTCTTGTTGGCTTTTGTCTTTTTTTCTCTTATCTTGACTCAAGTCAAAGGGCATAGACATCCCTAGAGTGTATGCATGGACTTGCACAAATTTTCATTTGCACTTTTAAAATATTTAATAAAAGAAATAACAATTAATGAAGTACATCCCCTGCTGAAAAAGCCAATTTACATGACTTTGCTGCAGACAGGCTTTGAGGATGTAGGACGGTATGATGCAATTTTAAAACCGGTTTATCCTGATTATTGTTTTTACCAAACACACAGGCCAAAATCAAAACTGAATTTTGATTAAATGCACAGCCTTGGTTAATATTATTATGATGGATTCGTAGTGAACTTGACATTAAGTGACTTACACTTATTTTTGAAAAGTAGCTCCCTAAGTCCACGTCTTGCACAGTGAAGGAGTGGAAAATGTCCTTGTTTAATTTTGAAGGCGATAAAATTATGGGTGGGGACATTTCTGTAATTAGTGGATATTGGTCGGGACACGTCCCCTACATCCATGCTAATTCTACGCCCTGAAATAGTCCTCGCTGTGGCCTGTAGAGCAGTAACGCCATGTATACACTATGTCAGTGTTTCTCAACCATATTTCAGGAGGACCACCAACACTGCATATTTTGGATGTCTCCTTTGTCTGTTACACACATTACAGGTCTTTTAGCCTCTTCGTTGAGCTAACTGATATAAATCAGGTGTGTTTGGTTACAGAGACATGGAAAGTGTGCAGAGCTAGTGGTACTCCAGGAACATGGTGGAGAAACACTGCACTATGTCACGCACATTAAATTGTGAATGTGCAACATGGCGTACTGCGTTTCTGCATCTGAAATCACATACTTCCATATGGTCATGTAGTTAATTTAAATGCAGTACATAATCGAGTATTGTCCTTAACTATAGTCTGTAAATTCACACTCCGGAGCTGAAGGTGGCGGTAATACACCAAAATGCTAAAAATAGAGGAAGAAAAAAAGATTATGATGATGATGAAGATGATGATGATGATGATGATGATGTTGATGATGTTGATGATGTTGATGATGTTGATGATGTTGATGATGTTGCAACTCGCGCAACCTTAAACATCTGTTTTAATGTCTATGGTCGTTGCATGCTTTTACTGTGATGGCTGGGTTTAGGGTTGGGGTAGGTGTAGACGTTAATAACAAACACACTGTAATGTGTAATTTAATAAATAACACAAATATTTATCGTTTCTAGCAACAACAGCTTGTGCATTCACATCAACGTAATGAACGTAACCATTTACACGTATTCATTCATGAAATCAAAATATTACAGGACTGTTGCTACACATGCATGCCAGCACATGCTTGACATCGTCATACGTGAAATCGGCACACGTGATATTGACATACGTGATATCTACAAACATGCCTTTGATATATGTGACGTTGACACGTGACGTCGACATACGTCACATTGACATACGTCACATCGACATACGTTACATCGACGTTACAGCTAGACGTTGACATATATGATGTCGACATGCATGACATCAACATACGTGACCTTGACATAAATTACATCGCCATACGTGACCTTGACATATGTGACGTCGACAAACGTGCCGTCAACATGTGACATCGACAAACATTACATTGACATATATGATGTCGACATGCGTGACATCAACATACTTGACCTTGACATAAATTACATCGCCATAGGTGACCTTGACATATGTGACGTTGACAAACGTGCCGTCGACATGTGACATAGACAAACATGACATTGACATATATGATGTCGACATGCGTGACATCAACATACATGACCCTGACATAAATTACTTCGCCATTTGTGACCTTGACATATGTGACCTTGACATATGTGACGTCGACATACGTGTCGTCGACATGTGACATCGACAAACATGACATTGACATATATGATGTTGACATGCGTGACATCAACATACATGACCTTGACATAAATTACATCGCCATACATGACCTTGACATATGTGACGTCGACATGTGACATCGACAAACATGACATTGACATATATGATGTCGACATGCGTGACATCAACATACGTGACCTTGACATAAATTACTTCGCCATTTGTGACCTTGACATATGTGACGTCGACATACGTGCCGTCTACATGTGACATCGACAAACATGACATTGACATATATGATGTCGACATGCTTGACATCAACATACGTGACCTTGACATAAATTACATCGCCATACGTGATGTTGACATATGTGACGTCGACATGCGTGCCGTCGACATGTGACATTGACAGCTAGACGTTGACATATATGATGTCGACAAGCGTGACATCAACATACGTGACCTTGACATAAATTACAACGCCATACTTGATGTTGACATATGTGACGTCGACATTCGTGCCGTCGAAATGTAACATCGATAGCTAGACGTTGACATATATGATGTCGACATGCATGACATCAACATACGTGACCTCGACATACTTGATGTTAACATATATGACATCGACACATGTGACGTAAACATACATGACGTTGACATACGTAAAAGTGATTCTCCTGCTGCAGATGCTCTGTTTGACTGTTTTCTCGCTAGTGAAGCGCTCAGTTTTTCACTTACAGAGTCTGGCATGTAAATAGCAAAAGTGCTATGTGGCGATGCAACTGACTCTTAAAAGGAATGGCATATAAGTATCTTGTTGGATTATTCTCAAAACACACCTAACTCATTAAAAGAATATGCACAACCCTGTTAGACCATGCGCAATAGCGCAGAGCAGATTTTTCTGTCGTTAAAATAGCAAAATTCTGACTCACCCTTAAGGCTTTTGCAACTTGCACTTTGGACTTTGCACCTAGATCATCAAACTGCCTGTTGTTTCAGCAGTCCAGATGTTTATTTAGGTTTATCAGCCCACACACAGAGGTGAGATCATCACTATGTCATCCTTTGTGGAAGTCAATATCTCCTAAAGCCACATCCTCCTCAAATGAAGTCATTGAGGTAACTTGGTGGTCACACCCAGGCCACTAGTGGTGCAAAACAAAAACAGATGACTTTCATGCTCTCTCAAAAGCATAACCTCATTTTTTGTCTCTATACACATTGTGGTAGTAGCTTCAATACTATTGCTCACACTGTACATCGACTCATCAAGGTTTTGAATGAAGTCTTTGTATTTGTAAAGACAAGGACGCAGAGACTTAGCACCAAAATAGTTGCTTTTATTTTACAACAGATGAGATAAACTACAATATGCTAAGATAAGTAAAAAAAAAAAAAAAGCCAGTAATGCCATTGCGTTTCTGCAGGTGCCATTGCAAGCTCCAGTTTTCCAAAAAACAAAATATAAAATAATAATTATAGTAAAACAATTGAGAATGGAAAATGCATGTAGACTAGTCCAGAATGACTGCAAATATGCTCAAATACAATAGCTCAAATCAAGCTGTTTTTGAAACCAGCGTTCGTCCATTTAAATAAACAATACTTGGTACTGGACACCAGATATAACTGGATGTAAGCATTCCAAACATGTCCTATATAGTAAACAGGGAGTGATTATGGAGTTTGTAATCTGCCTGAGGTGTACAGTATCTTGAATAAGAATATTATTTATTCATTCACTTTCTTTTTCTCATGCAAATTCCACACAGTGATGCCAACTGACCCCTAGAATTTGTTTTAATTTTGATATCTTTTAAAATTATTCGCAAATTTTATCCAGTAAAACATTTTTTTTTTTTTTTTTTTTACAAAAATTAAAAAATGTGAGACTTTTCTTTAAGCTATAGGCATGTTGTGTTGGGGTTTTATATTAAAGAAATAACAATTCCTTAATTCAGCTTTGTGCATAAACCTCATTTTATTGGAAAGTTTTTTATACACAAATGCAAATATACTCAATGTAAGCCTTTTTTTTTTAATGAGAATTGGAACTGCATTTAAAAACCATCAAAGACTCTCACAACAAGAAAGCAATTAAAACGTATTTTAATATGCTTTATTTAATATTCTGCATTAATTTGTTTTATTTTTGTCATCTGCAGTCTTTTATTCATTTTTGTTTCTTTGTCTTTCTCATTGTCTTTCTTTTGCTTTACCTTTATTATATTTATTTTGAAATGGTTACATTTCTCTCGTTGCAAAAAAAGTAATATTTGTATTGCTTGTACTATACTTCTGTTACCATACTATCTGTATTGTATTTCTATTTGTTGCAATGGCCTGTTGTTATTGCAATGATATAAAAAAAGAAAAAAAGAAATGCCAACTGACCCAGCAGAGGTTTAAACCAGCGACCTTCTTGCTGTGAGGCGAGAGCGCTACCCACTGCGCCACCATAATATTATTTATAATAATAATAATTTGACCCCCTTATATTGGTCAACATTGTCAATATATTATCACACCCAGCAGGGATGCGGGAAAAGAAACAGCATCTACTGCATAATATTGACATATATAAGTGAAGTTTCATTCTAATGAAACTAATTTCGAGAGCAGCATGTGATATGATTGAGCCCTACTGGCCGCTCCATCTGTAATCAGTAATAATCCATTCACAGTGATTTTAGTTTACTATAAATGGATCATTTTCTCCCTACTGCTCTATCTTCGTTCTGGAAGAACTCCCTCCTCCACCCCATCTCCTCCTTTTCCTCCCTTTTCTAAAGGGGGAGCTCTCGAGACCTACCTGATCTCGGATCTCCTGATATCCTTATTGACCGGGCAGGAGCCCTGGGCTCAAAAATCTGAGCTCAGGGTTCTCTTCCAGGACAGCATGCCAAACCTGCTATAAATGCTAAGCATATCTAAGTGGGAACTCTTGAATTAAATATATGAATTTGGCACAGTAAGGCAAACCCCTGATAGTCAAGGTATGATTAGCTTACTGCATATACAGCACATTCAACGTTTAGCAGTAGCACTGTAAGTAGCTAAAGCAAGTAATGCAAGCACTTGTTTTACTTGACGTAAGTAAAATCAGTTGACAAAACATTTACTGTACCTGCAATTTGCTGGTATTTTCACCTAATTCTAACAATGTATGAGAATGTTATAATTTACAGCTATCAAATTCAGCTGCCTTGCATGTACATTATTACAGCATGTACTATACCCAGTGCTTATTTGTGAATTGCGAGGTCCCGGAACAGATTGGGGTAACGGATCCGGTTGAGCGTAGTGTACGAAAGTGAAAAGCAGGTGGTGAGGAGGGTGGGGGTCGGTAGTGTCACATACTAAAATGATAAGGGTTGGGGAGTCTCGGAAGAAAGTGGAAAGCAGTCAGGGGGTGATGTCACGCGTGTGAGGAGAGGGATCGGTAAAATGCCAGATCAGATTTCAGAGGCTCCAGATCCGGCTTGTTCCGGCACAAATAAAGCCCTGATTTTACTGCTTGTGAAAATACAAAGTTTGAGAAGAAAACAAAGCAGTGACAAAGTGCGCAGCCCATGTTTAAGAAGCATTTGAAATAGGAAGTGAAGTCTTTAAGGCAGATACAGAGGGGAAGGAAGCGCTCATATATTGAAAGCGCAAGAGTTCTTCAGATGAACTTGGGCACAGTTTGAGAACACAGCAATAAGTAAGTGACAATATTAACCATTTTTATCTACTCACTGACTATTTAAATCCTTTCATTTTTATTTTTTTTGCACTGTTTTCTCACACATACCGAATGAAATCAATTAGAAAAAAAAAATGTTTGATTATATTCAGTTATTGCAGTAGTATGCTGCAGCACTGTAAATGATGAATAAATGCATTTCCAGATGCTGAGCTTTGATGCAGAGATGCTTTACTGGAGGTGTTTATTGTCAGTCTGTCTCTGGCTCAGAGGTTAGTAAAACCAAACGACATAAATTGGTTGTCATGTATGGTAATAGCTTTTAACTTGTAAATAATCAAGGCTTTGTCATGTTTAAGTAAAGTAGAGTTTCACTCTATAACAATTTCCTTTCCTCTGTTCTTATGCAGTATTAAAAATAGAGTCAAATGAGTCATTTCTTAGACAAAAGTGATCTTCCAGATATATATGGACAATAAACTTTTAAAAATAGGAAGTTGCGTGTTCGAATTAGACTACAGTTATGCACAACAATAACTGCAAAAAGGCAAGATGAACTGCTTCATATATGATATGCTATCACTAGTAGGCTACATAGGTTATATAGTATATGTGAGACATGCAGTTGAACGTGAGATAGAACTCATTTCTAATAACTGATTTCTTTTATCTTTGACATGATGACAGTACATCATAGTTTACTAGATATTTTTAAAGACACTAGTATTCAGCTTAAAATGCCATTTACAGGCTTAGTTAGGTTAACCAGGCAAGTTAGGGTAATTAGGCAACTCATTGTATAAAAGTCGTTTGTTCTGTAGACTATCGAGCAAAGCTTATTGCTTAAGGGGTCTAATTAAAAACTGCTTTTATTTTAACGGAAATAAAACAAATAAGATTTTCTCCAAACACTATTTGAAAAAGAAAATTCACAGGGGGCTAATAATTTTTGACTTCATCTACATTATATATATATATATATATATATATATATATATATATATATATATATATATATATATATATATATATATATATATATATATATACACTAAACGGCCACTTTATTAGGTACACCTTACAAGTACGGGGTTGGAACCCCTTTTGCCTTCAGAACTGCCTTAATCCTTCATAGCATAGATTCAGCAAGGCACTGTAAATATTCCTCAGAGTTTGGTCCATATTGACATGATAGCATCACGCAGTTGCTGCAGATTTGTTGGCTGCAAATTCATGATGCAAATCTCCCGTTTCACCACATCCCAAAGGTGCTCTATTGGATTCTGGAGTCTGATGACTGTGGAGGCCATTTGAGTACTGTGAACTCAATGTCATGTTCCAGTTACCAGTCTGAGATCATTTGAACTTAATGGCAGTAGCCATCAGAAGATGGGTACACTGTGGTCAGGGATGGATGTGGTCAGCAACAATACTCAAGTAGGCTGTGGCGTTGATATGATGCTCAATGGGTCCAAAGTTTACCAAGAAAATATCCCCCACACCATTACACCACCAACAACACCAGTCTGAATCATTGATACAAGGCAGGATGGATCCCTGCTTTAATGTTGTTGATGCCAAATTCTGACCCTATCACTCGAATGTCCAATTTTGGTGAGCCTGTGCATATGTAGCCTTAGTTTCCTGTTTTTAGCTGACAGGAGTGGCAGCCGGTGTGGTCTTTTGCTGCTTCAGTCCATCTGCCTCAAATTGAACATGTTGTGTGTTCAGAGATGCTCCTCTGCATACCTCGGTTGTAAGGAGTGGTTATATGAGTTACTGTTGCCTTTCTATTAGCTCAAACCAGTTTGGCCATTCTCCTCTGACGTCTAGCATCAATAAGGCATGTGCGCCCACAGAATTGCAGGTTACTTGATATTTTCTCTTTTTCAGACCATTCTCTGTAAACCCTAGAGATGGTTGTGCATGAAAATCCCAGTAGATGAGCAGTTTCTAAAATACTCAGCCCGGCCCGTCTGCCTAAATACATTGAGTAACAGAATACATTTGCGTTAACAAGCAGTTGATCCTAATAAAGTGGCTGGTGATATATATATGATTTTTTTATGCTTATTTCAAGTTATAAAAATGTGAAACTTTGTTAGGCCCCAAAAAAGTTGCACTAGAACCAGAGCTGTCACAAGAAATGTGTAATCACACTAGACCTAGCGCCTAGTCAGGACTTCACAGTGAATAAAGTGACAGCTGATTTTCAAAGGTGTAAAATTAAACTGTTTATCACAACGCTGTAGCTTATTATTCTGGTTAAAAAAAAAAAGGTTAAGCACTAGAATTTACAAGTAAAAATTTTTGTCTTTAAATCCCTTTCTTTCTTGTGGCTCTTGAGACAATAAATGTAGAAAAATACAAAAAGAAAATGTTAAATCAGATTTAAACTAAATTTTAGGAACAATTATATTCAGGGACTATTATTCTGTGCAAACTCACTGCAATACGTTGTTTAAGAGCACCAAGGGCTGTTTGGACATGATTAACGATTCAATTTGCTCATATACTACTACTACTACTACTACTACTACAAATTTTTGAGCAGATAATGTCAAACCAAGCAAGTAAATCAGACTTTAAGCTCTTACAGAGGTTTCTGTTATGTTGAAATGTGTAGGGTTATAGTATAGTGTGAGGTTTGGATGACAATTGGTTGAAAAAAAACAAAAACATTAAGATATACTGCATGATCCATAACTATAATTGTATAACAATGATAATGTCCCATTGATTATTACATTAACTTGTTTTCTTCAACCTTAACTACCAACTACACTATACATACTTAAACTACACACATAACATAAGACAGACAGAACAATATTGTGTAAAAAAAAGGTATTTAAGGTTGAAGAAAACAAGTTGTGCAACATGGTTTGTTGTACACTTACAAGTAAGCATTGTTTTTCTTATTGAGTCCTTGTAAATTGGAATTTCAAGTAAAGTGGCCGGTGCTTATAGAGAAAAGAATGTGTCTACAGGTGGTTTGTCAAGCCCACTCACCTGTGTGAGGGACACTTCAGAAATGCACAATGTTTTTTATAGAGATATGGAGTGATTGTAAGAAAGTGACTGGTGCAAAAGTGCAAACTGGTAAAAGTGTTGGTTAAAGTGTAAGATTAATGAAAGTGTGTGTTTTCTACAGGTGGTTTGTCAAGCCCACTCACCTGTGTGAGGCACACTTAGAATTGCATAATGATTTGAGGTATATTTACAGTATATAGGGTGATAAAAGTGTGTTAATGTACTAAAAGTAAAGTTGAACTAAGAGAAACCACTGATAATTTAGACGAGAGGTTTATTAGAGGAGGCGCAAAGGCAGCATGGCAGAACTTTAATATGATAATGGGATAAGTTCAGATTAAATATTTTTATGACAGGTTACATATAACTAATAGATTGGAAGTTTGGGACCAGGCTGATCATAGCACAATAATTAGTATTTAGGAACAACTTTTTGTTTCCATTATTTCTAAATTACAGCCAATAAAAGAAAGCTCCATGATATCTTGATATCTGCATATCAAAAGAATGTTTGGGCCAATTAGATGGGATGCAGCTCAGTCTATCCAGCTGTCCTTCAACAGATGTGTATGTTTCTAAATTATGGAAGAACATGACTGTTATTCTGTACTCTGTAACATCATGATAAGCAGATGAAGAATTTAAGACTTATGGCATCTTGATTATCTGTAATTGTATGGAGAGGATGCTAAAGCCAGGCTAACACTTTGCAGTTATGACAACGATTTAGTGACAAAGTCACAAGACAAATTTTAAAAATCCTTCAACATTCTACTGTAGATGATTTTCAAAATAGTCATGTCACAGATGTTTTCACACTGCATGACTATCAATAGGAAGAATCGCTGCCAACTTTGTCTCAGTCTTCCTTCATTTCAACCCTGCAGGCCACAAGACGTCAACATGACGTCATATTAACGGTGTACCCCAATGCCGTGGGGACATTAGATTTTGTTTGGAAATGAAAATCAGGCTGACATCAATGTCCAATGTCCAACCTAAAATTAGCCAAATATCAACGTCTAATCATGATACACCTTGACGTTGTGTAAATGTTACCACTATGACATCTATCAGACGTTGAAGTTCGGTCACTTTCCAACACAACCCAAAATCAACCAAATATCAACGTAATTTGACGTCCTTATTGGACATCAAAATATCGTTGTCCTTAGACGATGGTTAGACATTGAATTTGAATCACCAGATGTCATGACCTAAATCTAACCTATATTAACATCTTGATGTTGTGTGCCTGCTGGGATGGGCCCAAATAGACCTAAAAAGCCCTTTTAACTACTTCCCAACCTCCCGCTGGCCTGCAGATACCCATGCTAGTGGATGCTGCTCGCTCATTGGCTGTAGCTAATCGCTGATGTTATTTTTTAATCAGAACACATTTCACACAGCATGATTTTGAATCGCCGACAGCTCTAGATATTTAGCATGCCAAATATCAGACAGGTGTCTGCGACTCTCTCAGATCGCATCTTTGATAGTTCACACTGTGTGATTGTTAGTCACATGAACGAGCACCGATTTGCTTGTGAATTCAGCCATTTTTCTGTGATTTCTCAAAACCTGTTGGCGAGTCAACATCGGGGCTAAAATCATGTAGTCTGAACTTGCCACTAGGCTAAAATCTGGGGTATGTGATAGCTGTTTATACATGTTCACAGAGAGCCATTTAAAGGCCTTGTGATCAAATTCAACCTCTAATAAGAGTCTGAAGACTTTTATTCAGTGTGACAATTATGGTAACTCTCAGACCAACTGGAAAGCTAAATTTAATGACACAATTAGCATGACAACTTCAAACCTCATCAGAGAAAATGCTGGTACAAGTCATGTCAGAAACTTTGTTCTGGAAGAAAAAGGAGTGTTTGAATAACATGAAACTATTATGACAGGGATAAAAATAAAAAAAAGAAGCCTGGAGTAAGAAAACTCTGTAAATACACCTTTTAAACAAAGAATACATTGGGGAATTGCTTAAAATTCTGATAAATTTTATATGACTTCATTGACTTTCATTTAATTTTGACTGATGACTACAGAATACCAGTTAATTTACTATATGGTGCTTTTAAATGTACAAATTATTCCATTGCTAAGTTTATTTGATTCAAGTTGGCCTCATGCCCTTTTATCATAGATATTTACATTAGATGTCGCATGCGCTGTTGTTATGCATATTCACCTTTCTGATCTAAATGGTATATACAGTAACATTCGTAATATTCAATAACTTAGGGTGAACAGTATGCACATTGAGGCCCAGACACTGTATTGTTATCAGGCACCCTTATAAGGCTGTACTCACACTAGGTACAGTTGCCTCAAACCGGGCCAAAGCACGCTTGTCCCCCCTCCCGTCTCCCCCGACGGCCCGCACTTACACCACAAACGGGCTTCAGCATGCTTACGTCATCGCTGCTGGGCTGTTCAGTGAGAAGCGCTCTCACTCAGCAGCTCAGTGAAGATTTCTCTAGTTATATCATTTGTCGTTTAATATGCCGTCAAATATTTCGCCAAACAGTCCTTAGGGATGCGGGGACACGCAGTCAGATATTGTACCATACAGATCCGCCACTTTTGGCGCTCATAAACAATCATAAAGCTCTCGTGCTGCAGAAATGAGGAGGTTTGCTGAAGGCACGCAGCTGTCGTGAAGTGAGAAGTTTGCGTCTTTAATAAACGACGGCAGTTTGCGTTCACTGAACAGTAAGATTGATTAATAAATCCATATGAAACAGTCCCTTAAAAGTCACGTCTCGCTTTCAGTTTCGGGCTTTGGCGCGTAAAGCCCAAGTGAACCGCGCTCAGGCACACCTCCTCCAACCGGGTCAGGGCCGGCCAAGTGAACCGTGCTTGAGCCCGATTCAGCGCACTCACACTTCTCAAACGATCCGGAAAACAGGCCTGGTCACGGTACGGATGGCATAGTGTAAGTAGGCCCTAAGATACTTCAAAAACTAGCCATTACTTCACTAAGCCGACAATAATACAACTTTCTGGCACCGCATCATCTTGTTGTCTTGTTTCTTTTATATTGTTTGCTGATTTTATTCAACAACACTAGCATAAGCCTAGTATTTAGTGCAAGTTGGTGCTACTTTCAGTGACTTATTATCAATGTATTATCATCAATAACATGACTTTAGCTCAAAAGTTTATAACATCCAAAAACATAAAAAATAAATTATGAAATGTTATCTTTATGCTTTGCTTTCTTGGCAGATTCTTAAACTGATGACAAAATAAGTGCATCCCAGGCTTAAATGAACATTGGATAACTTTTTTAACAAGCCACTACTAGCAATAATAGAATCCCTTTTTTTTTCAGTGACCCCTACTAAAGCTGGTACATGGACTGCTAATCTGCCATCATCAGTGGTGGGTTTGTCTGGCTCATGTGTGGTGATTCCTTGTACGTTCAACTATCCAGCAGCTGGAAAAACATACACCAATTTTAAAGGAATCTGGTACAAAGTATACGACCAGTCAAAAGTATACCATCAAGATTTCTCAGAAATCAGTGACGAATTTAAAAATCGTGCCAGCCTTATCGGTGATTTCCGCCAAAAGAACTGTTCTTTAAAAATCAGCTCTCTGAGACAAACAGACAATGTGGAGCTCATGTTCCGGATTGAGATTGAAAATTTGGACAAGTACAGTTATGATAATAAAGTTTCTTTACAAGTGAAAGGTAAGAACATTTTGCTCAATAAAAAAAAAAATTGTAAATGTTATCCCTATCTTCAAAAGAGATTATTTAATTCTATGTATATTCTTGATAACATACTGTGAGGAACATATTAGTTTAAAGAACTTTCTCCCTACTGTATGGCCCTTTTGTGCAATGGAAGAATTCAAGTTAAACATTCTAACCATGGTGACACAATGACTAAGTGGTTAGCACTGTCGCCTCACAGCAAGAAGGTCACAGGTTCGAACCCTAGCTGGGTCACTTGGCATTCCTGTGTAAAGTTTGCATGTTCTCCCCATGTTGGCTTGGGTTTCCTCCGGGTGCACCGGTTTCCCCCACATTCCAAAGACATGCGCTATAGGTGAACTAAATTTGCTAAATTGTACGAAGTGTATGAGTGTGAATGCAAAAGTTTATGGGTGTTTCCCAGTGCTGGGTTGTGGCTGGAAGGGCATCCGCTGCTTAAAACCATAAAAACTTTAGAATTCACAAGATGTGTCACTCGTAGTTTTGAATGGGGAAAAGGTCAATATAGTATATAGTAATGTCAACTAGTACAGGAGCCAGTCATCGATCGCTATAGACTGACGTTTTATTTTGGGGAGAGGCTCTGACCAGGCGTGTACTTTTATCACAGTTTTTTGAGGTGAACGAACACACTGGATTCTTAGCGAATACTTGCTTCACAGACAGAAATATATCCAAAAAAGGTTGGATAGGTTCTCCAAAAAGTTTTCTGTTTATGTAATCTCTATGAAACAAACAAGAGATACAGTCCGTCACATAACTGCACATCACATAACTGCAACTACTCAAACTCCCAAAAACTTGTAAATAAAGAGTCGCTATCATTTATCATTTGCCAACAAGACCAAATTGTGGATTACTTCAGAAGACCAGCGCGATCAGAAGAAGCATTATCCAGAGGATAATAATGTGTAGAACGACCATATCTGGGGTTGGTGTCATGATCTCGTTCCTTTCGAGTGCGCATGCACATTTTCTCGGGCAACCTGAATAGATGTCGACTTGGTTTGATTCGGACGTTTAGAAATTAAACCTATGAGACAGTTGTTGTTTAATTCTATTGGTGATTCCAAATATGTAATGTAACCGTAAGCTTGGCAAATAATTCAGACAGAATACCAGAGCATACTGCCCGAGAGGCATTTCAAAGATGCCGCTGAGTGAAATGACTTGCCTTAAAGGGATTTTGGTAAAACATATGCTGGATAAGTTGGTGGATTATTACACCCTGATTAATAAAGGATCTAAGCCGAAGAAAAATGAATGAATGAATATTCTTGCCATGAATGCCAGTAAAGAACATTTTTTTTTCAAGATCTTTAAATAAATTGGAATTGTCCTTTAGTGTTATCCAAATGTTTATATGACTACGACCATTCGTTTCTCTAAAGCCGCCTTTCCACTGCACATGACATGTGGACACGACTGTCAAAATACGCCCCCCTGTGGCAGTCGCACAGAATATTTAGTTTTGTCGTGCACCTGATTCTCGCAGTGGTGTCCGAAATAAAGGAGTGCAAAAGCAAGGGCTTTTATTCTTTGTGCGTTCACCATGGTAAAATGAATGAATACTAGAAACTTAAAGACCGCTAATAATTTTGGAGGAAATGTGGAGACAAGATTAAAAATAATAATATTTTTTATTACTCATTTATGAATAGAGAGATTTTTTGATATAGACTTTTTTTCTGATTCCGAAAGTATTAAAAAAAATAATAAAAATCTCATCTTGTGCACACAGACCTGCTTAGACAACTCTGGAGTACATTACATCCGGACGGCCGATCACATACAGTCTAGTCGCAGGAGTTCAAATACTTTAATGTATCCGCAGCTCAAATCAATCCGAAATTTCCACATACAGAGATGATCGGAACTTTACACAGCGTCCGGACTACTCTCCATTGGAAACACATGACTTCCGATCTGTCGCCTGTTGTGTGCAGTGGAAAGGCGGCTTTAGGGACCGTTACACATTCATGAAATCTTTCCATTCTACAAAAGTCTTTAAAGTAAAAAAATGGTTCTTTAGAACACAAAACTGTTCTTCATACTAAGAACTAGAATGTTATTAAATTACTAAAAGACTCTTTGTTGAACAAAAAAAGGGTTCTTCTACAGCATCGCTGAAAAAAAAAAAAAAAAAAAACACTTTACAACCTTTGAGTCCATCCCCATTAAAGAGATAGTTCCCTCCAAAAAAACACTCTACTTACTCACTTACTTACACTCTATTTACTCACCTGGATTCAAAACTGATGAGTTTCTTTATTCTGTTGAACACAAAAGAAAGCTGAAAACACAGTAACTCAATAGTAGGAAAAACAAACTATAGAAGTCAGTAGTTTACGATTTCCAGCTTTATCTCAAAAGTCTTTTGTGTTCAATAAAAAAAAGTAAAAGGTGAGCAAATGATGATCGAGTTTTAAGTTTTTGGGTGAACTATCCCTGTAGTTTTGAAATAAAGTTGTATACGAATGTTAGGAAAACAGTATTGTGTCAAAAACCTGTCTTCACTAGAAATGCCGGAACAGCCTAGCGTATCTGTGGAAGAGGAACTGACATCAGGGAAACAGGTGAGCGCTACCTGTGCCGTGTCTCATTCCTGTCCATCAGATCTGCCTCAGGTCACCTGGAGCCACCAAGGCTCACCCTCCGGTCCTTCACCGCCACAAGATCACGGCCAATGGAAATTTACATCCTACAACCTGACCTTCACTCCTTCAAGAGAAGACCATAACACACGTCTCAACTGCACTGCAGACTTTAAAGGGAAAACAGTGACAGGCTACAAAACACTCAAAGTTAAATGTAAGTCTAAAGTTAGAACAAATAAGTCTATAATAAATGTATTAATCAGTTTCATTTTACTGAAATAATAACATTTATCTCATTTAGATCCTCCATGTAATGTAAAAGTAGTCACTGGCCCCCCAGTGAAGGAGAATGAGTCCATAACACTGACCTGCTCCAGTAACAGCAACCCTCCTGCAAACAGCTATGAGTGGTTCAGCTTAAACAAGACATTGTCAGCAAAGGGATCCTCTTATCAACTGGTGAAAGTCTCTCGGCATACTGAAGCCATTTCCTGTACAGCCATTAACACAGAGGGAAGAAACAGCTCTGATCCACATCAAATTAATGTTCTGTGTAAGTACAGCATATTATGGTTAATATTATGTTATGAAAGCAGTTTTTTGTTCTGAAATTAAAAAAAAGGTATCTGTGACTTATTTTATTAACCTTCTCATTATTGCATAATGTATCAGAACCAGGGCTTCACATTAACTTTTTCAACATTACTAGCCACTCGCCATTTTCACTAGCCACAATTTTGTTGTAAGGAAAATATATATTTACATGAATACATTTGACTATGCATACACTTTTTAGTCAACAAAACATTTCTTTAAACAAAATTGACATTTTAAAAATAATTATTGTCATCTCTCTAGAGCTATGGACAGTAGTATGTCCTGACTAAAGGTCCCAGATCACCATTGCAATGTACATAAATGAGAAGGTAATCTCCTATTAAAGCAATGCTATTGTAAAGGATGATAATTAAACCTTAAATTAAAAAAAATAACTATACGCTCTCCGAAATAAAGGTAGAGGAGCTGTCACTGGGGCAGTACCTTCTCAAAAGGCACATATCTGTACCAGAAGAGACCATATTGGTACCTCAATGGATTATTTTGGTATGGGTGGCTGGGTTGGGGGGATTGGGGTTAAATGTTTACAAAGGGTTTAAAAGAAGAAAAAAAAGCAGAAATTTTACATTTGTATAATGCTTGTATAATACAGTTTACAAAAAAAAGTATTATTTGGGGGTACAATCTGCAAATAAACCATAATACAGAGAAATATCTAAGCAGTGAAGAATGAAACTCAAAATCCCAAGAGTGTGATTTATAAATGGCAAACACTTTTCATGTATAGGTATGGTTGTTGGCCTGACAGAGAACTTTTTTTTTATACAGAGAATACAATTTTTATTATATCATAAGAGCACTGTTGACGTAAAAATTGTCTCATTTAGATCCTCCATGTAATGTAAAAGTAGTCACTGGACCCCCAGTGAAGGAGAATGAGTCTTTAACACTGAACTGCTCCAGCGACAGCAACCCTCCTGCAACCAGCTATGAGTGGTTCAGCTTAAACAAGTCATTGTCAGCAAAAGGATCCTCTTATCAACTGATGAATGTATCTCGGCATACTGATGCCATTTCCTGTACAGCCATTAACACAGAGGGAAGAAACAGCTCTGATCCAAAGAAACTCAATATATTATGTAAGTATGTATAAAATGGATCCATCCAACAAAGTTTAAAACACTAGTGAAAGATCATGGAAATGTTATGATTTATGATATCTGCCTGCCTGCCTGCCTTGCCTATCTATCTATCTATCTATCTATCTATCTATCTATCTATCTATCTATCTATCTATCTATCTATCTATCTATCTATCTATCTATCTATCTATCTATCTATCTATCTATCTATCTATCTATCTATCTATCTATCTATCTATCTATCTATCTATCTATCTATCTATCTATCTATCTATCTATCTATCTATCTATCTATCCAGATCCTCCTGATATTAAAAATGAATCATCTTGCCAGTCTGCGAGCTCTACAGTCTGTGTCTGTATTGTGGACTCCAACCCTCCCAGTGAAGTCAAGTGGTTCAGTCCAGATTCATCGAAAACCTTCCTCAGCTCCAGAACGGAAATAAAACAGTCTGTCAGCTTCTTCACTCTGGAAGTTTGGCTGGGTTTCCCTGATACTGTTCAGTGTTTCGCCAGTAACAGCGTGGGAAGCTCTTCCATAACTCTAAAAGCTCCTCAAAATGGTGAAACTTCATATCTTTGATTTTACAACACTATGAATCAATGCAAACCCTCTTTAGGTGTTGACGTCCCATTAAATTCAAAATGAAAGCTTTTGGGTGTTTGTATCAATATGTTAGTCGAACGGTTATCTGTGAGTGCGTTCCAAAACAATGACTTACATATCTTTGGAAGCTCCTTAAAACTTCACCCCCAGGCTTTTTACAACACCATGGGACAGATACAAGCCAATGCAAACCTCTTGTTAGGATTTAAACTCCCTCTGAAACAAATTACAAATTTGTAGAGTAATCGATTTGCCAGCGTGCTTCAAGCATTCAAAACCGGTAGTTTCTCACTGCCACCAATATTGATTGGTGATTTTTTTTTACCTAAATACCTAAATACTTGCATATTCAAAGGCAAGTGAAGTATTTTGAACCCCTTGCAGAATCAATCATTTCAGCAAAATAAGAGGAATTGTACAAAATGCATGTTAGTTTATATTTTTATAAATAAGTATTTTTACACACTATTCACAAATCATAAACTGGAATCAATGTGAATTTGTTTTTTAAAACTGCATGTGGTTACTAGATTTTCTGCGACTATTATTTTGCTTTATTATGATCTTCACAGACTCAAAGTGGTGTTTCAAATGTTTACTTGGCACTGTAGAAGAAAATATTCAATGGTGTTTTATTAGTCAAGTTTTATGCAGTGCAGGGAGAAACCCAAAAAGTGGTGATGCTGAAATATGCAGTGCACATGTACATTTCAATGTATTTCTAAACTCCCTATCTAATGAAGCCTTAGCCCTAGACCCAATGTTTAAGTATTATCAAGGTTTAAAATACAGTATATGTATAATTGTCTTTTGCTTAAACATTATTTCTATGTAAACAAAACAATGTGTGTTTTCTCATTTCATAGGCATGGTACTACATATTGCGGTTGCATCAGCTGTTGTAGTTCTAGTTGTAGTTGGCATTTTAGTGTACACTGTGAGAAGATGCTGGTAAGGATCACTTCTTTAAGCCTTACAAATTAACAGATTTTCTTCAATCGGTCACTCTTATTCCATCTGTTTTGTTCCTCCTTTCTTCCATTCCTCTTTTTCTTACAGTGGGAAGAGAGCAGTACGACAACCTGCAATGCATTTGAGGGATACAGAAAGTGAAATGAATACCACAAACAAGTTTGATGTTGAAACCTCTAAAAAGTATTTGTATATTTTGGTCACATTTGTTTTCCTAAAAAAAAAAAAAAAACGTTTTCTACTTAAATTTATCTTAAAATGTAATTTCTTCCTGTGATCCAAAGCTGAATTTCCATCATCATTACTCTAATTTTCTGTGAAAATCTTTAACATGGTAGATCAAATTTCAGATCACAAAATCTGTTTTTGATTTATCTACCCGAGAGCATTTTTATCATTATTAACATTGAAATTTGAAATGTGTTGCTACTAAAAACATTTTTGGAAACTGTGACACATTCTCAAAACTTTGAGTAAGAAATTTATAAATACATTTAAATTGTTACAAACCATTTCTATTTCAAATTAACTGTATTCTCTAGTACTTTCTATTTATCTAAAAAATCTTAAAATAATACTAATAATAATAATTTAATATAATACTAATTATATTAATAATATGAAGTGCTTTCTTTAACATTAAACAATGTTAGAAAGAAGCATCATGTAACATTGAAGATGTAATACTAAAGGCTCAGCTTTTTGTCACAGGAATAAAACATTGAAAATAAAAGATCTTTAAACTGTATTCAATTCTTTTTACTGTCTTTGTGCAGTCTTAATGCATACATCCTTAATGATTCAGTAGTGAATAATGATTGTTACCTAACAATACAGTATATTAAAATCCTTACAAATTATTTTTATCTGACATTTTATGCAAAGCAGTAAAGAAGAGAAATGTTGTGATGAAGATGTTTATACAAACAGCCCAGACAATGTTTACAGTAACTGGGGGGTAAGTACAACTTTGTATAAAGTGAAAGAAAAAAAAATCATTAACTTTCATAACAGTGAAGAAGATTATTTAATGAACTGACTCCATGTTTGTTTTGATGTCTGTAATGTTTGCCTCTTTTAGTGTGAAGACAACCCTCCATCATCTGACAACACCTTGGAAGATGAAACAATTTATGCCAACACATGAAGAGGACACACTCAGCATCATCCTCTTATCACAAAAAGATCACAATTGTTCATATGACTATGCTCTGAAAATGTTCAAGCCAAAAATGTCTTAAAGCCAAAATCTGTACTGCTTGGAAAGTCTTTGATCTTCAAACTTTGTTAAAATATCAGATTTATATGTTTTATCATAAAAAATCACGAGTTATGCTTTTACATTTAAATATTGTAATGCAAGACCAACTATGAGCAATAGAGTGTATTTTACACTATTTATTATCTCTTGTTAATGTTAGCTAAAACTATATCTTCTTTTTCGTAAATTCACAGTGCAGTAACTAAATATAACTTGATTTAGGCAAAGCAATAAATGTACAAATATTGTTCATTCATGTTGACTAATAGTTATCTCATGTTAACAAATGAAATCTAACAAATGTCAAGTGTATATAAATATATAAACGCCTGAATTATTAGCCCTATTTTTCTTCCAATTTCTGTTTAACGGAGAGAAGATTCTTTGAACACATTTCTAATCATAACAGCTTTAATAACTCATCTCTAATAACTAATTTTTATATAAATATAAATAATTTTTGACTGGATATTTTTCAAGACACTTCTATACAGCTTAAAGTGACATTTAAAGGCTTAACCAGATTAATTAAGTTACAGTAACTAGCGTGTTAGGGTAATTAGGCAAGTTATTGTATAATGACGGTTTGTTCTGTAGACTATCAAAAAAATATAGAGCTTAAACAGGCTAATGATTTTGACCATAAAACGATAAAATGATTTTGACCATTTTTTTTAAATTAAAAACTGCTTTTAGTCTAGATGAAATAAAACAAATCAGACTTTCTCCAGAAGAAAAAAAAAAACATTACTAGACATACTGTGAAAATTTCCTTGCTCTGCTAAACATCATTTAGAAAATATTTTTTAAAAATAATAATAATTCAAAGGGGGCTAATAATTCTGACTTCAACTATTTATACATACATAATGTATGTATGGTATCAATGCAAAAAATAGTATTACAGTATTAAAATGTAATTCTCTTTGGAAGGTCTTTGAACTAAAATAGCAAAACTACCACATGATTATCTTAACTAATGTGTAATCTAACTAACATTCACATGATCAATCATTTCTTCAATTTATTAGTAGGCTTTGAGCAAAAAAAAAAAGAAACTTACAAAAAAAATTACTTAATTTATTGCAAATGCACTGAAAAGTCTATCTGCTTTTAAAGTCAGAAGTCTTAATATTGTTAATATTTTTTTTCCAATAAAACTAATTGTATGAAAACTAAAAGTTGATAAAGACTCCTCTCTTGAGTGTCAGACTGACTGTTGAGTTTATGGCCATGGCTTTCTTGAAGTAAATGCACAACTGTGATCAAATTGAGGTAATGTTTATCTACAATAAATGAAACAAATACATAAGTAACTAAGTATGCGACTGATGACTTTCACACAAGTGTTCGATGCATAGGTGTCACCTACCATTACCAGCAGGGCCGTGCACAGAGGGGTGGCCCGGTGTCCCGAATTTTCTTGAAAAAGAATGTTGGGTCATCTGTTACTGACCTCAAGCTGAAACATTCTTAAGTTCTGCAGTAGCACAATAATCTAAAAAACACCAGTAAGTTCACTTTTAAATGGCGGAAGAAAAACAAATGAAGACTTTGGAGTGGCCAAGTCAAAGTCCTGAGCTGAATCCAATTAAGAGGCTGTGGCATGTTAAAAGGTCAATTCATGCTTAAAACCCCTCAAATAGGGCTCGAAATTGCAACAGTTTTGGTCGCATATGCACCTGAATGTTTGTCTATGCAACCTCAAAATACATTTTGGAGCATTTGAGCGGGTGCATAAAATTGCTGCCATGTCACCAGTTTTCACTGCTAAATATTTCACGCAGACCTTCACACAGTATGCGCTCAGGAGTAGTTTAAAACAGTTGACATCTCAACTTGCTGCAGTAAACAACGTCAGCAATGCTTGCCCCGCCTTCAAGCCCTTCTGACTGGCCCACTGCTCTAGAACTGAATGGGAATGGATTGGTTTATATCAGCTGTCAATCCCTCAGTTAACGCCTTTTGCCTTCAGATGACAGGGAGGGAGCTACAACTGTGAAAATGTAAAGCGCTGAAGATGAAAACAACAGTGACAGATTTTGCTTCAGAAACCGCCTAAAGTTACAAATAATGGCCCTTCTGATTAGTGATCATGTGGTGAATGTTAATCCACCATTTACACTTTTCGAAGAGTGGATGAAAGACTTCCATTTGGTTAAAGTCTGCTATGAAAATGACTAAAGCATTCACCATAAACCCAGTGTAACAGTGTTTGTCACATCCACACAATATTTAAGTCTGAGAGGTTCAGTTTAATCCTTTATTTAATTGTCAGGATGCTGTCAGCGCAAAAGAGCATGCATTCACTGAGATTAAACTCAGCTCATGAAAAGATCTCTATTGTTATTTAGATGATGTATGCAAATAATAAGTTATATGTCAATAGCATCTGTGCAATATCAGACACTACCTGTAAGAACATTATCATAAACATTATTACATTATTATGAGAGAGTTATTATCGTTAACCAAGTTTAAATTCATGTGAAGCAGTGCATGCAGGGCTGGTAAGCGCATGCATATATAATTTGTTTGCTTGTTAGTTTTGATGAATGTTGATTTCAAATGCAATGAATCCGTTAGGGGCTATTATAAAACTTGTAGTAACAGTGCTCATAATTGGTGGGTGCGACTAAATTTTGTCTGGTGCTCCTAAATTTTAACGCTTAAATGCTTCATTTTGAGCCCCGATCAAATGTGGCTGAATTACAAAAATTCTTCAAAGATGGGTGGGCCAAAATTCCTCCACAGCGCTGTAACAGACTCACTGCAAGTTATGGAAATCTCTTAATTGCATTTAATTAGGGGAAGGGGAATTTTAATAGTTTTAACTTGGAGTTTTAATCCTGATTGAATTACTTTTTTATTTGAGGGTTAGTAATTAAGTGGTTGTTATTTCTAGATCTATTATTTCAGTGGTTTTCATAGTGGGGGTCGCGAGACAATGACAAGGGGTCGCTTGGTGAATTCCAAAACCCAAATAAATTTTATTAAACTATTTAATTGACAACATGTTATTCATAACCCACAGAAGATAGTTAATCGCATTAAAGTAACAACAACATACAAATAAAAATCAGCCTTTAATTTTTAGATTAAAATGTAATTAAATTAATAAATGACTATAAAAAAACATTATATGGTTAATAGACTTTGCATTTTTGTAGTGTCACAATGTGCAATGTTTACATATTTACAGCACAACCACCTATAAAAATGGGGGTCGGGAGTCACTGACATTGTTATTTTGGTGGTCGCGGGCAAAAATGTTTGGGAAACCCTGTATTAATTTATGGTACAATGTAGTCATGTTAGTCTTCTACAGATAAAACACAATAGAGCAATCACAAATCATGTGAATTAATGCCAAATATGAAGAATTTCATTGTTACAAACTACCCTGCTATTGGGGTGCTGTGTAACAGCTGGGGACATTTGTAGGAGATCTGGGAACATTTACATGGACAAAAGAAAAACGGACTGTAGGATTGTATACAGCACCTTCAACATTTAGCACTGTAATGCATGTAAACTTACTTTTAAATTTTAACAATACATGTACATATTAATACATAATAATCAGATTAGGCTGCCTGGTTTCCTGCTTGCGAAAATACAGTACAAAGTGTAAGAAGAATACAAACTAGTGATGAAGTGTAAGTTTTAGGCCCCTGTGCACAGCCCATGTTTCAAAAGCATTTGAAATAGGAAGTGAAGTCTTTAAGACAGAATCAGGAGGGAAGGAAGCGCTCAAATATTCAATGCACCTCTTCAGATGAACAGTTTGAGAACACAAAATCAGGTAAGTGACAATAATAACCATTTTTATCTACACACGGACTATTTAAATGTTTTCAGATTTTTTTTTTTTACACAGTTTTCTCACATACACATACTCATACACAATACCGAATAAAAACAAATGGGATACTAAAACAATACTTGATTATCATCAGTTATTGCAGTAGTATTCTGCAGCACTGTAAATAATGAATAAATGCATTTCCAGATGCTGAACTGTGATGCAGGGATGCTTTACTGGAGCTGTTTATTGTCAGTCTGTCTCTGGCTCAGAGGTTAGTAAAACCAAATTAGATAAACTGGTTCTCATGTATGCAAGCAGCTTTTAAGTTGTGAATAATCAAAGCTTCATCATGTTTTAGTAAATTTCACACAATAAAAATCACTGTTGCTTGGTCTTTTTTGTCAGTTCTTATGCTTTGCAGTATTAAAAATATAGCCAATTGAGTCATCAACTGAGTCATTTCTCAGACAAAAGGACTTAAAGTGATCTTCCAGTCATTTATGGAAAAGCAACTTTTAGATATAGGAAGTTTGAGTGTCGGGGAAAGAATTAGTCTACAGTAAGGCACAACAATGAATGCAAAATAAAAAATAAAAATCTAGATAAATTGTTAAAATATATATATTTATATGTAGTTTTCTGTATTTTGTAAATCGTGATTTTTTGTTTATTTTTCACCATTTATTTATGCTTTTGCACCTTGCATCTTCCCATCATCCTTTAACCTTTGAAAAGTTAGAAAAAGTAACTTTTATAAATATTTTTAATAGCTTTAAGTGATGTTTTGTCTAGGCTGGCGATGTACATTATGGTACAAAAACCTTGTAATAAACTGCCAGTGCATTTTCTGATTTTTCCAAGCTTAAATTAAATTAAGCATTAAAATAACAAGGTGTGGCATGAGACCTTGAGAATTAATTGATCTGCGTGAGTCTCATGGTAAATGCGTTCCCGTATTTTGTCATTCACATTCACATTGACATTTTAGTAGTTTGAAGTAATATAATGCCCCCTTAAGCAGTATATATATATATATATATATATATATATATATATATATATATATATATATATTTTTTTTTTTTTTTTTTTTTTTTTTTTATTGTCTACATAAACTATTATTACAAAAAAAACCTTGCCTAATTACACTAACTTGCCTCATCAACCTAATTATTTGAGCCTTTAAATTGCACTTTAAGCTAAATTCTAGTATTTGGAAAAATATCTAGTAAAAATATTATGTACTGGCATCATGGCAAAGACAAAATAAATCAGTTATTACAAATTAGTTAATAAAACTAGAATAAATTATGTTTACAAATAAGTAGATAAAATTGTTCCTTCTTATATATTTCCTATATTATGTTTTCTTCAGGAGAAAGTCTTATTTGTTTTATTTTGGCAAGAAAAAAACCCTGCATTTTTTAATCAAAAAAAAAAAATCTTGTTTCTGTTAAACAGAAATTGGGGGGGGGGGTGTACAGGGCAGCTAATAATTCATAAAACAATTAAAATAAAATAATTTTGACTTCGACTTATATATACAAATATATACACACTACCAGTCAAAAGTTTGGGGTCAGTTAGAAAATTATTTTGTTCATCAAGGTGGCATTTATTAAATGCACAAAAATAGTTAAATATTTATTACAATAAATATTAAGAGTATATATATATACATATATATATATATATATATATATATATATGTTTAATAGAGCAAGACATTTTTCACAGTATGTCTGATAATACTTTTTCTTCTGGAAAAAGTCTTATTTGCCTTATTTTAGCTAGTACAAAAGCAGTTTTTAAGTAAAACAATTTAAGGTAAACATTATAAGCCCCTTTAAGCTATATTTGTTTTCGATAGTCTACAGAACAAACCATCGTTATACAATACCTTGCCTAATTACCCTAACCTGCCTATTTAGACTAATTAACCTAGTTAAGTCTTTGAATGTCACTTTAAGTTGAATAGAAGTGTCTTGAAAAATATCTAGTCAAATTTTTTTACTGTCATCTTGGCAAATGTCTTTTTCAGAGAATTATTACAACTCTTGTGCTATGAATCAAGGACTTTTTAAAAGATAGACCTCAACATGTCAGAATATGGTCTTAAATGAAACAGTATTAATATGGAAGGGTTCAACAAGGCTTTGTGTTATTGCCTGTCCTATTTTCTCTATATATACAAATGAAATCAAGCGTAATATTGGTTTGCCACTTCTAAAACGTGATGACATGGCTTTGGTAGCTCTTCGGACAGTTAAACATTAGTAAGACTACAGAGCAGTGATATGAGAGTATTTTTCACACACAAATTAGGAGCACTGTGGGCTTAAAATGAACTTTGTAAACCTTGGATAAAAGTTTTTAATGGGCCACTAAAAAGTAATAATACAATACTGTTATTAATTCTTTTTTCAGTGTCATCAGCTAAAGCTGACAAATGGACTGCTGATGTGCCAACAACAGTGGCGGGTTTGTCTGGGTCATGTGTGGTGATTCCCTGTACATTCCACTATCCAGCAACTGGAAAGACATACAGCACTTTTACAGGAATCTGGCACGCAGGGAATGCTGACTCCAAAATATTGTACCATACAAATCCTTCAAAAATCAGTGGTGTATTTAATGGTCGTACTAGTCTAATTGGTGATTTACACCACAACAATTGCTCTTTGAAAATCAGCTCTTTGCGTGCCAGTGACACAGGGCAATACATGTTTCGGATCGAGATTGATCAGTTGGACAAGTTCAGCTATGGCGCGAATAAAGTTTCTATACAAGTGAAAGGTAAAAGAACTTTTTCACTAAAAGGTTTTAATGTTATACTGTAATTATAATTTAATATAAAAAAATGTATTTGTAGTAATATCATGGAATATTTTTAAATCTTGAAAAATTACAGTGGGTAGGAAAGTTATTTAGACCTTACATTTTTCACTCTGTTATATTGCAGCCATTTGCTAAAACTATTTAAGTTAATATTTTCCTCATTAGGACACACACAGCATGCCATATTGACAAAAATACAGAATTGACATTTTTGCAGATTTATTAAAAAGGAAAAACTGAAATATCACATGGTCCCAAGCATTCAGACCCTTTGCTCAGTATTTACTTTGATCTTATACAGCCATGATTCTTTTTGGGATGCAACCTGTTTTTCACACCTGGATTTGAGGATCCTCTGCCATTTCACCTTGCAGATCCTTTCCAGTTCTGTCAGGTTAGATGGTAAACGTTAGTGGACAGCCATTTTTAGAACTGCCAAGAGATGCTCAATCGGGTTTAAGTCAGGGCTCTGGCTGGGCCATTCAAGAACAGCCACGGAGTTGCTGTAAAGCCACTCCCTCAGTATTTAACTGCGTTCTTAGGGACATTGTCTTGTTAGAAGATAAACCTTTGGCCTAGTCTGAGGTCCTGAGGACTCTGGAGAAGGTTTTCATCCAGGATATCCCTGTACTTGGCCACATTCATCTTTCCTTCAATTGTAACCCCTACAGCATGATTCTGCCACCACTATGCTTCACTGTTGGAACTGTATTGGACCAGTGATGAGCAGTGAGTGGTTTTCAGCACTCATACCACTTAGAATTAAGGCTAAAAAGTTCCATCTTGGTCTCATTATACCAGAGAATCTTATTTCTCACCATTTTAGCAGACTCCATGCGGAACTTCTTGCACTTCCATCGGGCCACTTAGCCAAAAATCCCTGACTCGTGGGGGAATGCAGTGATGGTTGACTTTCTACAAATTTCTCCCATCTCCCGATTGCATCACTGAAGCTCAGCCGCAGTGATCTTTGAGTTCTTCTTTACCTATCTCACCAAGGCTCTCTTTTCCCTGATAGCTCAGTTTGGCCAGACGGCCAGCTCTGGTAAGGGTTCTGGTCATCCCAAACATTTCAATTTAGGAACCTTAAGTGTGGCAGAATTTTTTGTTACCTTGGCCAGATCTGTGCCTTTCCACAATTCTGTCTCTGAGCTCTTCAGGCAGTTCCCTTGACCTCATTCTCATTTGCTCTGAGATGCATTGTGAGCTGTCTTATATAGACAGGTGTGTGGCTTTCCTAATCAAGCCCAACCAGTATAATCAAACACAGCTAGACTTAAATTAAGGTGCAGAATCGTCTCAAGAATAATTAGAAGAAATGGACAGCACCCGGGTTAAATATATGAGTGTCATAGCAGAGGGTCTGAATACAGGACCAGGTGATATTTCAGTTTTTCTTTTTTAATAAATCTGCAAAAAATTCAACAATTCTGCGCTTTTTCTGTCAATATGGGCTGCTGTGTGTACCTTAATGAGGAAAAAAATTACTTAATTAATTGTAGCAAATAGCTGCAATAAAACAAAGAATGAAAAATGTAAAGGGGTCTGAATACTTTCTATACCCACTGTAGTTATACAGAGTTTAGCATATTAAAAAATAACTTCTTTCCACTTAAAATAACCTATTGTCTACTGGAATGGTTCTATTGATGTTAAAAAAAATTCTTTAAATGAGGAAAGATTATGGAAGTCAGGATTCAAGCTTTCTTATTCAAAATATCTTTTCTTGTGTTCAACAGAAGACAGAAATTTAAATAGGTTTAGAACAAGTAAAGGGAGAGTAAATCATGAGAACGTTGTCAGTTTTAAGTGAGCTATCTTTTTAACATCCATCAGACCTTTCCATTGAACAAAAAGTTGTTTAAAGTAAAATAGGTTTTTTTAGATCATTCAAATGTTCTCCCCACTAAGAACTAAATGGTTGTTTGAATTGTTTAAATTACAAAGGTATCACTTTAAAAAAAAAAATGGAACCTATATGTGGTATTTATATTAATATTTGAATGAAGTAATCAAAATTAAAAAAGGATGGCAAAACAATATTGTTCCAGCAATCTGTGTGTGTCTTCACCAGAAACGGCAGTACAGCCTAACGTCTCTGTGGAAGAGGAACTGACATCAGGGAAACAGGTGAGCGCTACCTGTGCCGTGTCTCATTCCTGTCCATCAGATCTGCCTCAGGTCACCTGGAGCCACCAAGGCTCATCCTCCGGTCCATCACCGCCACAAGATCACGGCCAATGGAAACTTACATCCTACAACCTGACCTTCACTCCTTCAAGAGAAGACCATAACACACGTCTCAACTGCACTGCAGACTTTAAAGGGAAAACAGTGACGGGCTACAAAACACTCAAAGTTAAATGTAAGAATCTAGAACAAATAAATCTGATGCTAATTTATTAATCAGAATAATTTTCTAAAATAATAACATTTATCTCATTTAGATCCTCCATATAATGTAAAAGTAGTCACTGGACCCCCAGTGAAGGAGAATGAGTCTGTAACACTGACCTGCTCCAGCGACAGCAACCCTCCTGCAACCAGCTATGAGTGGTTCAGCTTAAACAAGACATTGTTAGCAAAGGGATCCTCTTATCAACTGGTGAAAGTCTCTCGCCATACTGAAGCCATTTCCTGTACAGCCGTCAACACAGAAGGAAGAAACAGCTCTGATCCACATCATATTAATGTTCTGTGTAAGTACTGAGTTTTATGAGTAATATTTTATGTTATGAAAGCAGATTTTGTCATGGAATTAAAAAAGGTGACGCATTATCATTCTTAATTGTCTGCCATCCCCCTCGCTTATATATAGCACACTCAATTAAGAGTGTTGTCTCCTCCTGGGCATTAGCACACATCACCTCTCTAACAGATTGTGTGAAGCTGGGGCTGGGGGACATCTAACACATTCGCAAGATTTTATAATCTTCGGGTGGAGCCGGTTTCCACTCAGTTGCTAGGTAAAGCCATTCTACATAACCCAGAGGGTTAGGTCATTGTTTGTGGTCATTCCACTTAGTTTGTGAGTTTCCTATCTGGTGAACCCTGGAGAATTTCTCTGAGGCTCCCAACACCCGACTCAGAGGAGGAGCCAGGTGCTTGGCCCATTACATTGTCGGTATGCCTGTTTGGTCAGCCCACGTTCTGGGGATTGGGGCCAGCTCTGCATGATCCCCTTTGACGATCACATACGCATCACTCAGCCACGGTTCAGTTCCCCTCCTCAGGCAGACCTGTGTCTTTCCTTCCCGCTAACAATCTTTTTAGATGTCGAGCTTCCCCTAGTTAGGGTTAGCTCATATGCCCACCTTGTCACCTGGTCTCCCCAGCTGGGAAGCAGTTGGTCTCCGCAGCATCCTTCCCCTTCTGGACGCTTTACCAACGTAATGTCATATTTTAAAATTCCCAGTCTAAATTCAGCTAGGATAAAAAAATCATATAACCCCCTTAAAAATGTAATAAAAATTGCATATTCAGGTAAGTAAGAGCCTAGGGACATTGGTGGGCTGCGCCTTTGGTGATGATTGTGTGCTCACGCTATGCTTGGCAAACTTCTTACCAAAGCCGAGACAAAGTCTAGCTGCTGTAGCGCTTTCCATACACTTCTCTTAAAGTGTTGTTCCGACACTGCATTGGAGTTCCAGACCTGATGGGGAGTGTCCCAGTTATGAATGTAACCCATGTTTCAAGAAGGAAATGTTGTGGGGGTCAAGGGCGCAGAAATGCCATGTCTCGATGCCACAATAGCTGGGTCTCCAGCTGAATGTTCGGCTTCTTCAGTGATAAAAGCCTGTTTTGCTCAGCTAAGCTGGTGGCTTTACACCCAGCTGATTGTAATTGCCATCAGCTGCGAGACCGACGCTGCCAATAGGCATTCAGAATAATTTGTTATCTAGTGATACTCCCCAAAGTGTCATTCCGAGGCAGCATTTCCATTCCCTCCTTCGAGGAACGTGGGCTACATGCGTAACTGGGGCATTGATTTAGACTATACAAAAATGTTTTGAAATGATAAAAATGGAACAAAACTTTTCTGCCAGTCAATAAATGACCCCATCTTGACTATCTTGTTTAAAAAAGCAGAATACTTGAAAAACATGAAATATATATTTGGAGGGTACAATCAGGAAATCAACCATATTCCAAAAAAAATCAAAAGCAGTGAATGGTGTCAAAATAAAGTGTAAATTGAATAAAACACAAACACACACACACACACACACACACACACACACACACACACACACACACACACACACACACACACACACACACACAAAACCATGAATTAGGGTGGCTGTAGACCAGATGGTAGCATTTTTGTCATTATTGACACAACTTTTTTTTATAAAAATTGTCTCATTTAGATCCTCCATATAATGTAAAAGTAGTCACTGGACCCCCAGTGAAGGAGAATGAGTCTGTAACACTGACCTGCTCCAGCGACAGCAACCCTCCTGCAACCAGCTATGAGTGGTTCAGCTTAAACAAGACATTGTCAGCAAAGGGATCCTCTTATCAACTGATGAATGTATCTCGGCATACTGAGGCCATTTCCTGTACAGCCATCAACACAGAGGGAAGAAACAGCTCTGATCCACAGAAACTTAATATGTTATGTAAGTATCTTTGTAAAGACTCTATCAAGTTTAAATTGCTATTAAAAGTAAAATAATAGATATTTTTATGATTAATAATGGCTATCTATCTATCTATCTATCCAGATCCTCCTGATATTAAAAATGAATCATCTTGCCAGTCTGCGAGCTCTACAGTCTGTGTCTGTATTGTGGACTCCAACCCTCCCAGTGAAGTCAAGTGGTTCAGTCCAGATTCATCGAAAACCTTCCTCAGCTCCAGAACTGAAATAAAACAGTCTCTCAGCATCTTCACTCTAGAAGCTTGGCTGGATTTCCCAGATACCGTTCAGTGTTTCGCCAGTAACAGCGTGGGAAACTCTTCCATAACTCTAAAAGCTCCTCAAAATGGTGAGATTTCACATCCTGGTTTTTTCTACACTATGAGTCAAGTAGTGTGTCACTATGAGTCAATATTATAAGTCAGGCCCATGCAAACCTTCTTTAGGTGTTAAAGTTTTTTTTTTTTTTTTTTTAATCAAAATGAAAGCTTTTGGGTGTTTGAATCAGTATGTTAGTCTTAAGGATTTTGGTAAAAGGGTTCCAAAACAATGACTTCCATATAATGGGGTATAGTGATAAAGACTTTTGATTTCAGTCAGTCAGCCCAAGTGCTTCCGCTTCACGCTATAAGAAAATTGGTATGTTTAACATTCGATTTCTTTAAAAATCAGTGATCTTTACTGCCTGATATACAAAATAAATTGGGTCTCAGAATGTACAAGAAGCACTGCATTAAAAAAACATTTTTCCATGCCATGATGCTACTGATGACACTTGTGTTTACAGTCTTTCGTCTCATTTTATGCTTGAACAATTAAATGAATACTTAAGTCTATTTAACTGATTTTATTTTTACTACAATACAACATTGATTCTGTAAAAGTAACCATGTTAAATGGAAAATAGTTCTTTCGCTGAAAGTTTATAGCTGGCTGAAAAACACTAGGGGCCCTATCATACACCTAGTGCAATGTTTGGTGCGATTTGTTGCTATTTTCAGATCAGCGCAACCCTATTTTCCTGTTTTGCGCCACGTTGTTTAAGTTGCAAATCCATTTGCGCCGCTTTGCATATACCCCACTGGAAGCTCCTCAAAATTGCTTTAAGAGGATACAAGCATTCAAAACCAGTAGTTTCTCACTGTGCACACCAGCTTCTTATCAGATCTTCTGACAAATCAAATGCTTTCCAGTGTCTGAAACATCACACCCACTACAAGGCCTTTAGGAAATCGGTTACTTATTCAAATGTACAATAACTGAGGGTTCATACTAATATCTGACCTAAACACTTGCATATTCAGTGGCAAGTGAAGGTTTTTGAATCCCTTGCAGAATCAGTGAAAATATAAATAATTTGACTAAAGTAAGAGAGATTGTACAAGATGCATGTTATAGTAAGGTATAGTAGATAAAAGATGTTTACTATAGTTCACAAGAGATAAACATTGCTGGAATTATTAAAGTAAGTTTGTGTTTTTTAATACGGTGTGTGGATACCAGATCATCTGTGACTGTTATTTTGCTTTGTGATGGTCTTCACAGACACTAAATGGGGTTTTCAAACTTTCTCTTGGCACTGTAGAAGAAAATATTTATGGTACTTTATTAGACGAGTTATTTTAGTTAGTCAAAACTAATTAAAATAGAAACCCAAAAAGCGGTGATGCTGCAATACGCAGTGCTCATGTAAAATCCCTATCTATCTAATCTGGCTTAACCAACCTAAAACTGTTAGGTTAAAAAAACCTTAGGTTAGGTTAAAAAAAGTTTTTTTTTTAAAAACAACATGTATAATTTTAATTTTATGTAAAAAAATATTCCAGTTCTAAAACAAAAATATGTATTTTGTCATTTGGCAGACATGGTACTATATATTGCGGTTGTATCAGCTGTTTCAGTTCTTCTTGTTGTAGTTGGCATTTTAGTGTATGCTGTGAGAAGACACTGGTAAGGATCACTTCTTTAAGCTTTACAAATTAACTAACTTTATTCAATCAGTCACTCTTATTTCATCTGTTTTGTTCTCTTCCTCTTTTTCTTACAGTGGGAAGAGAGCTGTACGACATCCTGCAATGCAATTTAAGAATGCAGACAGTGAAATGAAAACCACAAACAAGTTTGATGTTGAAACGTACAGTTTAAGTCAGAATTATTAGCCCTCCTGAATTATTAGTCCCTCGTATATTTTCCCCAATATCTGTTTAATTGAAAGTAGAGTTTAACACACTTCTTACATAATAATTTTAACAACACATTTCTAATAACTGATTGATATTTATCTTTGCCATGATGACAACACGTAATATTTGACTAGACACTTCTATCCAGCTTAAAGTGACATTTAAAGGCTTAGTTAGGTTAATCAGGGTGATTAGGCAAATCAATCAAGTTTTCTGTACTTAAATATAACTTTATTTACTTCATCCTGTGATACAAAACTGAATTTCCATGATCATTGCTCTATTTTTCTGTGAAAATCTTGTCAAATCTTTCAGATAATTTTATTAATTAATTACCTTTAATTGTAACACTTTCAGATCACAGAATCTATTTCTGATGTGTCTACCCAAGAACATTTTTATCATTATCAACATTGAAATTTGAAATGTGTTGCTACTAAAAACATTTTTGGAAACTGTGACACATCCTCAAAACTTTGAGTAGGATATTAATACTTTGGATTAATTAAAATTTACAGCAAATACATTTATGTTAGAAAATAGTTCTGTTTCAAATTGTATTCTTTTGTACGTTCTATTTAATCACAAAAAAGAAAATAATAATAACAATAATAACAACAAAAACAATATGAAAAGCTGTTTCTTTAGCACTAAACAATGTTAGAAGCATCCTGTAACATTGAAGATGTAATACTAAAAGCTCAGCTTTTTTGTCACAGGAATTAAACAATTATTACAAAAAATCTTTAAACTGTAATAGTATTTCACAATATTACTCTTTTTTTACTGTCTTTTTGCAGTCTTAGTGCATAAATCCTTAATGATTCAGTAGTAAATAATGAATGTTACCTAACAATACGATATATCAGAATCCTTACAAATGATTTTTATCTGACATTTTATGCAAAGCAGTGAAGAAGAGAAATGTTGTGATGAAGATGTTTATACAAACAGCCCAGACAACAATGTTTACAGTAACTGGGGGGTAAGTACGACTTTGTATAAAGCGAGAAAAAATTTATAAACATTTCAAATTAAAAGGGAAGATTATTTAATGAACTGACTCTGTTTGTTTTGATGTCTGTAATGTTTGCCTCTTTTTACTTAGTGTGAAGGAAACTCTCCATCATCTGACAACACCTTGGAAGATGAATCAGTTTAGGCCAACACGTGAAGAGATGCAGTATCGACATGCAGTATCGTCCTTAGATCACAACTGTTTTTATGACTTTGCTTTGAAAATGTTCAAGCCAAAAATGTCTTGGGGCTGAGAAAAACACATTCTTTGGAATGTCTTTAATCTTCAAATGTTGTTAAAATATTAAATTTGTATGTTTTATGAAACACAACGCAATCTCACGCCAATTCGTAACCTTTTGATTTAGTGGCTAATTCGTATGAATTCGTACGATCTAATTCATACAATTTAGTACAATTTGCTCATCATCCGATGACGGTTGGGGTTAGGGGTGGGGTTGTTTGCCATGCCTCCTTTTTAAAATCGTACATTTTCGTACGACTAAATTCATACAAACTCGCCACTAAACTACAAAATGTAAAATACTAACGTTTCCTTGTGAGATCAAGCGGGAAAAAGATTGACTACTGCTTTGCATTTAAAAATTGTAATGCAAGACTTTACTTCAAAGCAACTATGAGCAATGTGTATTTTACACTATTCATTATCTCTTGTTAATGCTAGCCAAGATATATATCTTATTTTTTATATCCATGTAAGTTCACGGTGCAGTAACTAAACAACAGCTTGATTAGGCAATGTAATAAATATGTAGGTGTTGTTCATTCATGTTAACTAATAAAGTTATCTTATGTTAACAAAAAGATGTCAAGTGTTATATAAAGAACATACACATACATACATCCATCCATCCATCCATCCATCCATCCATCCATCCATCCATCCATCCATCCATCCATACATACATACATACAAGTAGTCAGAATTATTAGCCCTCCTGGATTATTTGCCCGATGTATATATTTTTCCCAATTTATGTTTAATAAATTTTTTTTTCAACACATTTCTAAACATAATAGCTTGTTCTGTAGACAATCTGGGAAAATGCTTATAGGGCTAATAATACTAATAATACTACTTGTATCTTTTATTCTTGTTTATGTAAAGCACTTTGAATTGCCACTGTGTATGAAATGTGCTATTTTAATAAACTTGCCTTGCCTTGCCTAATCTTATGTTTTTTTATATTTAAAAAAATGCTTTTATTCATTCATTTATTCGTTTTCTTTTCGGCTTATTCCCTTTATTATTTAGGGGTTGCCACAGCGCAATGAACCACCAACATAACCAGCACATGTTTTACGCAGCAGATGCCCTTCCATCTGCAACCCATTTCTAGGAAACATCCATACACACTCATACACTGCGGACAATTTAGCCTACCCAATTCACCTCTACCGCATGTCTTTGGACTGTGGGGGTAACCGGAGCATCCGGAGGAAACCCACACGAACGCACGGAGAACATGCAAACTACACAAAAACGGCAACTGACCCAACCAAGACTCGAACCAGCGACCTTCTTGCTGTGAGGCGACAGCACTATAGCGCCACTGCATTGCCAAAAACTGCTTTTATTTTAGCCAAAATAAAACAAAGAAAACTTTCTCCAGAAGAAAACATTCTAGAAAATACTGTGAAAAAAATAGGCTAAACATCATTTGGAAAGTATTTGAAAACATCAAAAGAAAAAAATTCAACAAAAGGGCTAATAATCCTGACTTAACTGTGTACACACACACACACACTACAGTGCAGTATTAAAGTATTAAAACATGATGTTAAATAAGACTTTGATGTCTAAAATTCTCTAACATGACTAAAATAATTCTAACAAATTTTAACATAAATTGTTAATTATTTCATCCATATATTCGTAGAATATATATAATCAAAATAAATCTATTCAGCTTTGCTTTGAAAAGTCTTTTTCTGCTTTTAATGTCAGAAGTCTTAAAGGACAGCAGTTTTATAATAACATGATATGAATACATTGTAAATAAAACTAAATGTATGAAAACTGAAAGTTGATAAAGGCTCCTCTCTTGAGTGTCAGACTAACTGTTGAGTTTATGGCCATGACTTTCTTGAGGTAACAGGGTTTCTGCAGGTTTCATAGAGTCAAATTTAAGACTTTTTAAAATCATTATGAATGAGATTTTAGACTTATACGGGGCTAAACATTAAGGATTTTTTGTAATGGCCTGGTTGGTCCAATGGAATTGGAAAAAAACTAATGTAGTTACATTTTAATGTGCCAAAACAAGAAAAAAACTAGCTGACCTTATTATAAACATAATGTTTATTTTTTATTTTTTTAAATGACAAGTTTAACATTGTTAAAAGTATATTTATAATGAAGAAAGCTACATATATATATATATTTGGTCCAAATGAATGGAGTATGACTCCTATTTGACCTAATGAGTTTCTGTTATAAAACCTTGAGCTTCATTTATAAATAGTATGTTCACTTGCTTTCTTCTGTAAATAGTTTTTGTGTAAATGGAAGATCATGTAAAGGAATATATTGCTGTTATTATCATGTGTAAAGGTTTTTAGTTTTCTTTTCCTGATTAGAGAAATTAATTTTAAAATTTTGCTGTAAAATGTCTAACAGCTGTTTTGAAATTAACCTCCGTGTACAATAAAAAACTTATTATAAATAGATTTTATAAATGACTTAGATAGATTGTTGATGATTAGATGGGTGTTTTTAAAATGATTTAAGACTTACAACACAATATTTCTGTAAATTTAGGACTTTTTAAGGCCTAAAATTTTGTTTTTTAAATGTAAGACATTTTAAGATCCTTTGGACACCCTGGGTAAATGCACAACTGTGATCAAGTTGGGGGATGTTTATCTACACCAAATAAAATAACTAAGTATGCTGATCACTTTCACACAGTTAACACTGCTGTCACACCGGAAGTCCATTTCCTTAAGCAATGAACTATACATTGGAGAGCAAAAAGCAAATGTGCTGAGAGACAAGAACAGTTTCGTTTGATATGAACCAGTGCTGCTTGAATATTGAATATCATGTTTTGCTCATTTATACTACAGTTAGTTTATACTATCAGCTTTGTTAAAGACAATGAAACAGCTTGTAAATGATATCAAGTAATGTTGATTAAAATGAAAAAAGGGAAGGCATCTTTCTGAACACTTTATAATAGTACCTGCTGCCAAACTTGTCAAATCATAAAGTATTAGGATGACTGTAAGATGACTGGAGGTAAGGGCACTAACAGCTAGTGTCAAAAAACCCTCAGTTCAGCATTTCACAATAAATGAGACAACAACTGAAGTACATTTTCATAGGCTAAAATGATCATTATATTTAATCTGAGAAATAACGCTTAAAATAACATTATTGAAATGTAAAATATTGCTTTGACTGTTTATTAAAAAAATTAATAAAAAAACACCCATCCAACATCTATTATGCAAACATGCCAAAATGATTACCCAGTATACAATTTAATCATGGAAAAATTCCTAATGCCTGTATGTGATTATGAATATGCATTTACTATACTAAACTATGGTTTAATGTGGGTAATGCATGGTTTTCCTGGTTTTCGTTTTTAATTCAGCCATTTAAATTAAATGCAACACATTTCAGGAAGCTGGTTTGATTGAACATTTTTGATAATGATAATAGTCTGACTAATAATTTCAGCTCTACTCACCGGCCACTTTATTAGGTACACCTGTCCAACTGCTTGTAAATGCTAATTTCTAGTCAGTCAATCACATGGCAGCAAATCAATGCATTTAGGCATGTAGAAATGGTCAAGACGATCTGCTGCAGTTCAAACCGAGCATCAGAATGGGGAAGAAAGATGATTTAAGAAACTTGAACTTGAATTTGAACATGGCATGGTTGTTGGTACCAGACGGGCTGGTCTGAGTATTTCAGAAACTGCTGATCTATTGACATTTTTGTGCACAACCATCTCTAGGGTTTCCAGAGAATGGTCATAAGAAGACAAAATATCCAGTGAGCGGCAGTTCTGTGGGCGCAAATGCCTTGTTGAAGCAAGCCAGAGGTCAGAGGAGAATGGCCAGACTGGTTTGAGCTAATAGAAAGGCAACAGTAACTCAAATAGCCACTTGTTGCAACCATGGTATGCTGAAGAGCATCTCTGAACGCACAACATGCACAACCTTGAGGCAGATGGGCTACAGCAGCAGAAGGCCACACCGGTTGCCACTCCTGTCAGCTAAGAACAGGAAACTGAGGATACAATTCCCACAGGCTCACCAAAATAGAACAATAAAAGATTGGGAAAACATTGCCTGATCTGAGTCTTGATTTCTGCTGCAACAATTGTATGGTAGGGTCAGAATTGGGCGTCAATAACATGAAAGCATGGAAATATCCTGCCTTGTCTCAACAATTCAGAATGTTGGTGGTGGTGTAATGGTGTGGGGGGTACTTTCATGGCACTCTTTGGGCCCATTAGTACCAATTGAGCATTGTGTCAACGCCCCAGCCTACCTGAGTATTGTTGCTGACTATGTCCATACTTTTATGACCACAGTGTACCCATCTTCTGATGGCTACAAGGGGGTCCAACTCAGTACTAGTAAGTACCCAATAAAGTGGCTGGTGAGTGTAAGTTAACGTTGAATGCATTAATTCTCAATAGTATTGGTTATCTTGGGTGTGCTAAAATAAATACCCACAGCATTAAACCAATACCTCGTGGCATGTGATCTTCTACAGATCTAATTTAAGACCTGATGTTATGATGTCCCATTTTGTGCAATATTCCTAGTGTATTAGTATGCTTAAAAAATGATTATCAGCAGCTGACACGCATGATTCTGTTCCTCATTTCCACACCAATGGACACAGACACTTTTGATCTTCCTAATGAACGTTCTGTCTTCTGGAAAACAGAGAAGTTTCATTTCCTTTATTTCTTTTTTTATATCAAAAAGAGCCTGCAAAGCCTTTGAAAGGTATTTTGCTCGGAAATGAAAGTCAAAATTGAATTGAATGTGTTTCACTCATTTGACACATTCTTTGTAAAACACTGACTTCATCCAATATTTTATATTTTTTTCAAAAAAATATTTTCATATCAATATTTGATATAAAAGAGCCTGCAAACTTTTGAAAGGTATTTTTTTTGGTTCAATATTTGATATAAAAATTGCCCGTGAAGCTTTTGAAACTGAAGCATTTTCTTCAGAAATGAAAGTGCAAGACAAAAGTTAATTAAATGTTGTGTTTCACCAATTACATTTTTCATAAAACACTTTCAAAATTAGTGGTCCAATAATCCAAATTCTAGAAATGAAGAAACATACAACTGACTCATGTTTTC